GGAAAATGCTCGTACGAATGGGTGTGAATGAGGCAGAATGAGGTTCGGGCTGAAACACACAGACAGGAAACACTTTGTTCATTCGGCTAAAACGGTGTGTTTTAATGCAACGTTTAGCAGTGTAGGTTTTTGGTTGATATGCAGTTCCATGATCAGCAGACAGGTTTGGGCTCCACCGTCGGAGACTGTGGCTGGCAAAGGTAGATTGCACTCTGCTCCACAGTGTTGGTGAAGTCAGCAGGACCACCTGCAGCACGTTAGGCTAACCCTCCAGGTCACAGCTGATCTCTGCTGCTGCAGCTCGAGATGCTGGAGCTGAATGACATTAGCAACTGTTAACAGCAGCAACCTCAGAATAAAGTATTCAGCTGTTTATTTTGATGCAGTCCATCAGGTGCGGTCTACGTCTGTAAACAACAGGCCAGCTGATTCAGAGTGACAGATAGTTTTGGTAGATGTGCTGGCAGTCTGCGTTGGGCTAACTCGTATGAATACCATTAGCTGAGGGTTGTCGTGTGTGTGTGTGTGTGTGTGTGTGTGTGTGTGTGTGTGTGTGTGTGTGAGAGAGAGCTGGTCGTAGGCTTTAATCAACTAGCATTCCTATGTCCAGTGGGGCTGTGGGAATCCCGTGAAGTAGAGGCTAAGACGTGATTGTGAGAGTGCACATCACAGCAGCCACTGCTTTGTAGCCCTCGCTTATTGTCAGAATGATGATGCTCCCCCATTTCCATCCTAGGCCAGACTCCCCCTTTCCTCCCTTCTCCTCCCCTTGAGTTCCCCCCCTCTTTCTGCTGGGAAATTGAATTGTGTTGGAATGCTCTGTGCCTCTTTTCTCTGGCACTTGAATGGGCTCTTTAGTATTTCACACCAAGGTGTCCTTCAGGGTGCGAGGTCAGGCTACCAAAACAGCTTCTAGTGGCGGATTAGGACCAATTAACATCTTTGTACACAAAGGGCTCTGGCAGCTGAACAGGCTGCAGGGTGACCCACGCTGCTGTTGCATGCCAAACCAGGGGAACGCTGTACTTGAGCTGAAGTAGCAAAAGAGGGGTGGAGAAAGTTTTCTAAACCTATTGGGAAATGTTGCTACTTCACACCTCATGAACATATAGCCCATTGATGAGTCGTTACCTTGTGAAATGAGAGAGCAAACCACTTATTTTTTTTCCATCATCACAGTTATACATAAGAGTGTTCCCTGAACTGTTGTCTTTTTTTCTTCCCCTTTCATGTAATGATGGGTTAGCGTGTTGGGCCAGGGTTAGGCCTTTAATCCGACTGGAGCTGCTCATTCAGAGCCTGTACACACTTTAGACTTTGTGCCACCGAGGCGTCCGTTTGTTGTGATCGACGAACGCCACGAAGGCTCGTTCTAACGTTATGTTAGTACTGATACAAGTTATTTCAGTACTTGGTAAAAACTAAAATTAGATTAAATACTCTGACTTGCAGTACCAGCTGTTTAACTCATTACTCTTTGACACGCTGTGCAGCTCCAAAATGTCTCTGAAATAATGCTGTGACTGTTTTACCTGATAGGACGTCGACCAGGGCAACGCACCAGACTTGTGGATTCCTTGTTACATAGTAACATTTTCCTTGCACCGTTATTATTGCCTCTGAGTATAATTACCCTGATGCATCTCTTTTGAGGCCTGTCAGCAATTTCTAGTTTAAGTCTGTGCTGTGTTCATAAACATGGCTAATCTGTTAGGGTAATGCTGATGCTATGAATATTCACTGGAATTGTCAAATAAAGCTTTTTTGTTATGTAGTGTAAAGCGCTTTGGTAAAGCTCTATACAAATACAGGCCGTTTACCATGTAACTGTTTAAGGTTTAAAGTATAAACATGCCAATTATTCCAGGAATGATAATGTAAAATAGTTCTGGGAGCTGTCAGTCGTCCTTGTCAGGAGCTACAGATTCACCGTGTGACGTGCTCTCCAGTTGTACACATTTGAGTTGTTTCCCTCTTTTTTTAAAGGGCTGGCTGTGTAGTTACACACTCTGCCATCATGCATGTGTTTCAGAAAAGCATAATGACTAAACATAGAGCCTGCATCTCTGTAAACAGAATATTGTTTTCTGCTGTCAGATTATGTGCACTATACACAGCCAGCAGGTTGTTATCACAGATACATGTTGGCTAGTATGTACTGGATGCAGACGACATTAAAATGGTTGGTTAAGTGAGGCCGTGTTGTTCACAGGAATATGTTTTAGCTGTAAGGTTAATGAAGAGTGCCTTTAAGAGACTGTGCAGGCTTACACAGCATGTCAGAGTTTTGGAAACGCCTTCAATGACCTATTTGAGCATTTGGAAGCTTTCCTTACACGCGTGTTCATTTCTCTAAACTACATGTGTAGAATGTCCTTACAGATCTGATCCAGAGTTATGATATTTCTCTTCATTTTCTGCACCAAACAATATGAGCTGGAAACCTTCCCAGCTAGAAAGTATCACTGCTGTTCCTTCGTATTTCAGTTATGTGTCAGGTTTATATGCAGAAGTCAGGCGTTGTTGATCGGCTGTGCTGGCTGTCAGGAGGGCGGGGATATCCGTGAGGTTTGATAACACTGGTGTTCTCTATACTGGTTCAGTGTTCTTTTATTATTTGGTCAGAGTGGTGCTCTGTCGTGTTGTTTAAGGAAAGCTGTATATTAAATGATGAAACCATGGACTTCCTGCCTGTCAGTGGGAAATGAGCAAAGCAAAGGTCATCTGTAAATCCCCCCCCTCGCGCTGCAGTGCAAGGCCTTGCAGAACAAACAGAGACAACTTGAGTCATTCACTGGAAAGTGGACCCTGAGGCAAGAACTGAGATAAAGGCTGTTTGGAGTAAAACACATTTTATTTTGGAGAGGAAATTTTATTTATTTCTTTATTTTTTGTGTTTGTCCTGCCCTTGGTTTTCATCATCACACTTGAGCCATCTTTTATCGCACTAACTCAACAGTCTGTGCCCCATCCTCCCAGCACCACCTCCCATTCAAACCTCGTGTTCGACACACAGACGCACACAGTGTGTGTCTGACTAATAGAGGGTAAAATGCAGGTGTGTGTGGGAAATGGCTGCAATACTGTAGCGCATTGACAGGTTATTTTGTTGGCCCCTGCCTAATTAGTGGCATAGTGGATGCACCCCGCTAAGCTTTAGTGCTTTATGTTCGTAGCAGTCTGCTCTAATTTCCCCGAGCCTTTGATATCAGCCCAGAGATTGACAGTTCACACATAAAGAAGAACAGCAGACCCTGATAGAAACAATGCCGCCACCTTCAGTCCCCCACTCCAACGCTCCCTGCATGTCTGCATTTTACCACCCAGCTCTACAGATGTTCAGAGCAGAGGAATGGCTGAACATGATTTGATTGTAATGTTTGCATGGCACATTTTATTGCTTACTTCACAGAAGCAGGACACTCTGCTGCTCTTATGTGGTCTGAAAGCAGTTCTGTTCAAACGCTCCTTATTTACACTTTGTAATATTACCGTCATTTATGGGTTTGTTTAACTTATTGTCTGCTGCCACACTAGAGTAGAGGCTGCCTGCTTTTGGATTTTTAAAGCCGGCGATCATTGTTAGGTGCAGCTCTGCAGAAGAAACTGAACGAGTGGAGTTTTAATGAACTCGCTGCTTCCAAAAATATTCCTTCATTGGGTGTTTTTGATAATAGTGATGGAGAACAGTGTGCAGCACAGTGCAGAGGGTTACACTTGAGATGGGCGTAGAGCACAGTGAATATGTGGACAGTAATGCTTAATGTGGTGTTGTCGGTGACGGCAGTGTTTTTATTATCTGATTGAAAGAATTCGGATTAGACTGAATTTATTTTGACTCTCATGGTAATGACATCAGCCCTGCATTTGCTCCGAATGACCTGGATTCTCAGTCACATTGACCATCATCATCATCATCATCATTATTATTATTATTATTATTATCATCATTATTATTATTATTATTATTATTATTCAGGGCACAGTCCTAACAGGTAAGCACCTTCATTCCCACACCAGATGGAGACCCGTCCTTGAGTCTGTTGGAGGTTACTTCCTGTTAAAGTGCCAGATGCTGCTCTCTAATATTCTACAATCGTTGCCTTACGCTGACGAGACTGTTATGATAGAAAGGTAATTGAATTAATTACAGGTGATAAACTGCTTGTGTGAATGCTGTGTACAGTAAAAGGCTTGAGTACTGCAGTAGAGTAGAAAAGCATTGTCCATTACTGTTGTACTGATGTTACGCTGCAGTCGCACACATTCAGGGATATGGCATTTTTTTCTGTTTTTATAGGATACTCTGACGCCTTCACACGTTGCAAACAGGCACACAGCTCCTCACCTCACTAACAGCTGAAGTATTCGTATCACACTTTAGGAGGAAAGTATTAAACACTTATTGATGTTTACCTGTCCAGTTTAACTGTAACAGCCCCGTCAGCCGTCTTCTTTCATTAACGTAGTGGACTGTAGTTAATAACTGGAAAAATTAGTCCGAGTGTTTTTGAGATGTTTGCTATTCTCATGTTGCAGGATGGGATCAGAATCCTTCTTATGGTTTCAAAAATGGTATCGAGTATTTTTGTGGATATCAGTATTGAGTTTGAAATTGTAATATTGCGATAACCCGAATATGAAGTATTTAATGTATATTTTTTGAACATCTGCTCCGGTTCTCATGAGTCGTGCGTTTTTATTGATTCGTGTGATTGATTGTGTGACGGTGTAATCAAACAATGTAAAATTCCTCCATTTCTTGACCTGACATTTGGCTTTTTGTGACATTTTAGGGCTGAAAGTGCAGTAAAATTGTTCTCACAGCAAAAGGTCAGCCTGCGGTGATTAGCAGTTTTGGCTGTGGAGAAGTCTGCTTATTGCACTGATGATAGGTGGCTTGCTCGCTGCAGAAGGAAATTGAAGTATTGTGTGTTATTTTCCTGTTCTGCTGCCTGTTGAGGTTCAGAAATGAGTAACCCGTCTCTCTCCTATTCCAGCCTACTCCACTGTATCAGGTGTAAATGGACCCCTGGTGATCCTGGATAACGTGAAGGTAAGGCTGCAAAGAAATTCTGTTTTTATCAGGCTTTCTGTCTGTGGTGCTGCTAACACTCGTTCATCTATTGTGCAAATCCTCTTACAATATGTATTAATTAGGTTGCAAATAGTGGCGCTGTCGCTCGGTAAACTCCAAATGTTTGTAGAAGTCAGTATAATTCAGCACTTTACTAGCCGGTGTGCTCTTTTATAATAATGATAAAAACGTGTTTTTCTGTTGCTGTAGTAACAGTGTTGAATCTCTTTGAATTAGTTCCCCAGGTATGCTGAGATTGTTCACCTGACCTTGCCAGACGGTACCAAGAGGAGCGGACAGGTCCTCGAGGTGATTGGAACCAAGGCAGTTGTTCAGGTAAGAAATAGTGAGTGGAAACTAAAGCATATCAGCTGACAGCCTCTGTGCTGTAAGCTCTGTGCTCTGTGCAATTGCATTTTGCTATCCTTACTTGTGCTCATGCCCCAATGTCCAGTTTGTTTGATTACTGCTTGATGATCGTGGCCTGCTTGAAAGGTGGGCCCAGGTTTGTTTCGGTTGGACTCAGGTAAGGTACATATGCCTTAGCATGGATCTTCATCCTTCCTCAATGACAGCTCATGCCATTAAAATTGCTTTGTTATACATAAAAATACTTTTCCTGTTAAGCTGCCAAATACATGAAATGATAAGATGATATGGGGACCAAAGCATACACAAAAATCCAAACCTGGTTGGGCACCATTCAAGGTCCTAAAATACATTCATTAACCATGCAAACACTGTAACTTACTATTATGTTGTCTGAATGCTCCATAGTAGCATCCTAGCCTTTTTCATACTAGCCATAATAACCTGACAGAAGAAAGAAATGTTCCATGCAGAGACCAACAGCACCTCATACAGCTTTGCATGGTGGTTGGTTGTGACATGATGGTTGAACCAACCAATCAGCAGATATAAAGAGGTTATGGTTGGAGGCGTCTCACCAAATGAACATAAAACTGAAAAAGAGCCTGGCACAGCCACCGCACGAATCTACAAACACAGACATGCACCATGAGCGCACACAGCCACACAAAAGAAGGGATAGCACAGCCGTAGACTCGACAATGCAACATCAAAGGAAATTGTATCTACATTTAACATTATCATGATCAAGTAGTCAATAGTTCAAAATAGCTAAACTGCAATTTAACTTACTACTGATAATTAGAGCAGGAGACAACAGTTGTAGGTCTTTGATCACTGTGCTGTAGTTTCATTTTAGCAAACATGTCCGTGTAGAGCACCTAAAACAAAGGCTGTGCATATTTAACCCTAACCCAAACAGTGACTCTCATAAACCAGCACTGTTTGCCTAAAGTGAGCATTCCTATCCATTTTTGTAGTATTTGCATTTATTTATTCATCTATTGCCTTCGCTGTCCGGCACTGTAGCAATCAGAATTATTGTCTGAAGGCCAAGAAACATGCCCAACAGATTTATTTTCCTAAGTAGACCATTACGACTTCGCTGTACTGGTCCACTTGATTGTCATATTTCATTTCACCTTTATTATTTATTTATTTTTTACTTTCACATTTTTAACAATAGAAACAGACAGGACCGGGGGATAGGAGAGGAAAAGACGAAGAAAAGAGAAGTTGGGAAGAGGCTGAACAAAAGGAGAGGGAAAGAAAAACGGAGGGCAAGAGAGACGAGAGAAAAGACACACAAACCCGCTCGATCACCTGCTGGGGAAAAGAACAAGCAAAAAGGGAACAACGCTGTAGGAAAACCACAGCGACAACCTAGATAAGCATAAGTAACACTAAATAATAAATATTGAATGTTACTGAGCAGCACACAAAACCGACAACGAACCATATATTTAGAGGCAGCAGCCAAGGAGTTTACAAGGTTTCTCCACGTAACTGTCTAATAGTAGGTGTGGGGAGTCATAGCCCTGCCCCCAATGACATTAAGCAGGCATGGAGTAGATCCAAGTCCCAGACATCTAGAGGCCCTCCAGAGCACGAGAGCCCCAGGAGGACCACCAGAGGGGCAGCCGCAGCACCCACCTAGAAAAGAGCCGAGGAGAGCCGCAGACGGGGGGGGTCACCCAGCAGCCACAGGGCAGAAGCTACAGGGGGCTGCGGCAACGTGCCTGCAGACTCCACTGGTAGCCGGCTATGCCAGGGTGGTCTGAACCCCAGGCTTAGAGGCCAGAGATCTGAGGGCCTCACACACCCCTGAAGGGGCCCGTCTGAGCCACAGGCGCCAGGAGCCGCCAACCAGCCGCCAGGAATGAGCCAGTACACGCCCGAGCCCCGGACACCAAGAACCACCAACGCACCGACGGGTTGTGGCATCGGACACCAGCAAGGAGTGTGGCGAGGTCGCAGCACATGGCCCCGCCCCTCCCTGAGCCTGGGTCTGCCAGAGGTTTCTTCCTGTTAAAAGGGAGTTTTTCCTTCCCACTGTTGCCAAAGTGCTTGCTCATAGGGGGTCATATGATTGTTGGGTTTTTCCTCTGTATCTATTATTGTAGGGTCTATCTTACAATATAACACGCCTTGAGGCGACTGTTGTTGTGATTTGGCGCTATATAGATAAAACTGAGTTGAATTCCCGGCCCCCCACCCCAGACTGCAAACAGAGAACGGGGATGTAAAGAAGCACTCCCAGAACCCCAAATCCCCAAGTCTACCCCAGAGCCACGCAGGGACAGCTAGGGTTACCAAGTCGGTAACCTATGTCTGCCGACACAGACCCTCCCCCAGCTGTGCTGCACGCAGGTGCCAGAAAAACACCACCCAAGAGCCACCAGCATTCCATCCAGGTCATGACCACAGCCCCTGGGTTGTAATTTTCAGGTGTATTGCCTTGACTATGTGAGCAGCTGTTAGAAGCCCATCTTGAACATCCATTGACTGTATAGTGCACTCTATGTAGTATTTTATATTGTATTAGTTGTAGACTGGGATTCCTAAACAATTTAAGTTTAAAGGGAACTCATCCCTGAGCCTGAGTCAATCCATATTATGGATTGGAGGTGCTGAATCTCATTCCCACAGCTTCATACTCATACTTCCAATGCAAGCTGGAGGCCATCAGCTGATCAAGCCAACAGAATCACATAATCCGCTAAAAGCAGAGATGAGATTCTGAGACCACCCTAGTGGAAGGCCTTTGACTACTTGGCTACCCCCATAACTTCCATCTATAAAAATTACAAACAGAATGGGTCACAAAGTGCAGCCGGGCAGAGTCATCACACACCGGGAACAAGTCCAACTTATTGCCAGCTATGCGGACCAAGGTCTTGCAACGGTTGTAGAAGGATTGAATGGCCCGTAGCAATGGGCCAGACACCCCATACTCCCAAAGCACCTCCCACAGGACACCCCGAGGGACACGGTCGAATGCCTTCTCCAAGTCTACAAAACACATGTAAACTGGTTGGGAAAACTCCCATGCACCCTCAAGTATCCTTGAGAGGATAAAGAGCTGGTCAAGTGTTCCACGACAGGACAAAAAACCGCATTGTTCTTCCTGTATCGAAAGTTTGACTAACGGGCGGACTCTCCCTTCCTGCACCCAGGGAGGCTGAGTAGTGTGATCCCCCTGTAGTTGGAACACACCCTCCGGTCCAGCTTCTTAAAGATAGGAACCACCATCCCGGTCTGCCCATCCAGAGGTACCGTCCCTGATCTCCAAGCAACATTGCAGAGGCGTGTCAACCAAGACAGCCCTACAGCATCCAGAGCCTTCAGGAGCTCAGGGCAGACCTCATCCACCCCAGGAGTTCTGTTTAACTGTCTCAGTGACCTCACACCTAGAGCTGTCCCCCTCGTCCCCAGACTCTGCTGCCTCCACGTTCCAGTGGGATTAAGGAGGTCCTTGAAGTATTCCTTCCACCGCTGACAATGTTTCTAGTCGAAGTCAGCAGCTTCCCCCCCACTATACACAGTGCAGGTAGTGCACCGCTTTCCCCTCCTGAGTTGCTTGACGGTTTGCCAGAATCTCTTCGAGGCAGTCCAAAAGTCTTTTTCCATGGCCTCTCCGAACCCCTCCACACCCGAGTTTTTGCCTCAGCTACTACCCGAGCCGCGTTCCGTGAACTCGCTATCAGCTGCCTCCGGAGTCCCACAGGCTAACCAAGCTCGGTAGGCCTCCTCCTTCAGCCTGGCGGCTCCCTTCGTCTCCGGTGTCCACCATTTGGTTCAGGGATTACCACCACTACAGGCACCAACCACCTTGCGGCCGCAGCTCAGTGCAGTGGCTTCGGCAGTGGAGATGCTGAACATGGTCCATTCGGACTCAATGTCCCCAGTCTCCCTCAGACTGCTGTTGAAGCTCTGCCAGAGGTGTGAGTTGAAGATTTCACGAACCGGGGCCTCTGCCAGGCATTCCCAGTGCCCCCAAACGTATGCTGAGGGTGCACTGTCTGGCATCCTCCCCTGCCACCTGATCCAACTCACTACCAGGTGGTGATCAGTTGACAGCTCACCCCCTGCCTTTACCCGAGGGTCCAGAACATGTGGAATTTCTCATTAATTCTAATCTTATCATTCTCTAATAGCACCAGGCTAAGATTAATGTTAACCTAATGCATAATCCTGAACATTTCAGCATGTAGCAGCAGCTTATTTGAACCATGTATCAACCCTCAGAGACTACTGTGTAGTGTCTGTAATTGTTAGTGAGGGGAGGAGCTCAGTGCCGGACTGTCTGCAGCTTTGCCATGTGAAGTCACGCGTCAGCTGACGGGAGCAAAGGCAGCACTGTTGGTGTCTGTATTGCAAATGAGTTCCATATTAATTCTTATATTGATTAATATGTAAGCATTGAGGGATTTGTTAATGAATTCATTTTTTTGACAACCCTGATAATCACTATCAGTAAACATGTAACTAGACATGCTGAGGATGTCTTTGCTACCTTTCTGTGTTGCTGCAGGTGTTTGAGGGAACATCAGGTATTGATGCCAAGAAGACAGCATGTGAATTCACTGGTGATATCTTGCGTACCCCGGTGTCAGAGGACATGCTAGGTATGATCAACGTGATTTAATGATTAAAATGCTATAGCACACAGAATTAATGTAGTCAGCTTTTTTCCTTGTTACGCTAATTTCTAAATAAACTGTAAAATCAAATAATTAAATCAAAGCTTTTATTTTAATGAATAGAATAGAATAGAATTCAACTTTATTGTCATTGCACATGCACAGGTACAGGGCAACGAAATGCAGTTTGCATCCATCCAGAAGTGCTTTAGTGATATAGATATATTACAATATATATTAGCAATAATATAGATATGTAAGTATATTACAGAAATGGGTCTATTATGTTATAATGTACACGGTATGAAGTATGTTGTGAATATTCTATAACTATAAGTATGTACAGGCTGTAGTGAGTACAAGCTATGTACAGGATATGGACAGGATATAAATATGAAAAACTATACAGAATATGAAATAAATAACTTTACAGAATCTGAGATATACAGCTATACAGAAATGGGAACTATGGAAGTTGTAAACAGTTGTAGGGTTAAAAATTATTAATAATAATGTTCTTGAATCTCAATCACTGTGACTCAGTACAACACAAGGTTACATACATTTGAATGGAAGCAAAAAGTAGAGATGCTTTTTCTTTGTTTTCTTTGTTTCTGTCATCACTAACACGAGTTTATAATTGCTGGCACTTGTCAAAGTAAAGTAGCACAAAGTAGACAGAATGTGCTTGCAGGTCTCATCTCATTAAGCAATGATGTAATGTCTAAATGCCTCCTTACCAAAATATTTCCTCTTATAGGTCGTGTGTTCAATGGTTCAGGCAAACCTATCGATCGCGGGCCGACTGTTCTGGCTGAAGATTACTTGGACATCATGGGTATGTTAGCCTCTTACTTTCCTGCTGCTAAGTCATATAAGAATGCAGTGTCATAAACGGAAACTTCATTTAGGTACAATGTCCTAAAAAATCACCAAATAGTTATTGTTAGGGTTTTATTATTATTATTATTATTATTATTAATAATAATAATATTGACCAAAGCTCACTCAGCAGTGTATTCTGTACTGTTTTACTGTCCCAGGTGTGAACATGAGTGAAATACCACAATAACATTAATAATTTTTTTTACTCATTCATTTTTTGCTAATACAGTTAAGTGTCCTTTTTAATAGTGTTAAACTGTTTTCTTCAGCCTGAGTACATTTTGTCTCCTTAACAAATAAACATTTCAAGAACTTTAGCTTCATTTGTGAGAAATGAAATGTTTTACGTAAACCAAACGTAAATGGTGGTTTACAACACCAACTCTCTGCCATCTATAATCCAGTTTTGAGATCCTTCCCAGACGCCTTAACACCCACTCACATCCTGGGCCATCTGACCTCAGGAAATCACATGATAGGGTGGGGCCAGGTTTCACAATGAGCTCACCCGAAACTCTGGCTGATTGGGACCCACACCCAGTTTCACACCTTGGCTCAGGCGATTAGAGGATCATCAGGGGGTCCTTTTGTCCCTCTGTGGGGGGAAACTCCCACTAGGTTTATATCTGGGACTCTCCACCATTTGACCTTAGAACTGAAGAAGCTTCTCGGATGAGAGGTGAAACGTCTTCAAGTAACTTAAAGAAGTCCAGACGCTTTTCTTTGCAAGCTCCTTTGACTTTAACAGGAAATGTTTTTATTTTGAAGTTTAGGAAATTATCCTAGCATTCTGCTACTCGCGGAATAGCAAGTAAATGTTCAAATGTTGAGTACACAACAATAAATGCCAGTCTGCTCTCATTCTGCAATCAATCAATTTATTTATGAGCACATGTACAAACAACACAGGTTGATTAAAGTGCTGTACACAGTAAAAAGTAACACAGACGAAGAACAAAACCAAAGCTAGTGAGCAAAGCTGTGTTTCAGATGGGTTTTAAGGATGTCGAGTGTTGGAGAGATCCTGATATGAGGAGGCCGACTGTTCCAAAGTTTGGGGCCGGTCTCCTCTGAGCTTTAGTCTTATCAACCTCTCAGCTCACCCATGTGTGCCAGTTTTCATGGCTGTTTTGGCTGAGCCATTTAAAGTTGGCTCAGCTAACGTTATGTCAGGTTGGTGCATAAGATGAGCCATCGTGTTCATGAAATTCCCAGAGTATTTACATGTATGTAATAAAATATCGATACTCTGTGTCCGTGTGTTGAGCCAGTATTCCCAAATATCACTATGCTATAGATTTTTCCCATACCGCTACAATAAACCCAACCAGTCAAACGTTTGGGGTCCTACAATCCTACATTTACCATCAATACTTTATCCACACAGTGCATTGAATATTAATGCTGTTGTAAAAGGTAGAAACAGTAGATGATACTTCAGTAATCACAGCCATGGGTCCTTTTATAAAGTGATCTGGAAGTATTTAAGTCCTTTCTTCTGGAACAGTCTTCCATAGGTTGCATGTCATGTGATCAGTCTGCATCCATAGGAGCTTGATAAGATTAACCCTAACCCCGGTCAACAGGACAACACCTAACCACTGCTTCTCTTAATGGTTTATACTTAGCGCCGTGCTGCAGCTCGTGGTCACACTACAGGGCCACAGTGGCGCTAATCCTGTGGCAGCTACACGGTTTGACATGCTGTTGTGAAATATTGATAGATTAGTGCCGGTGAACCACATGAGTGAGAGTTCCTGAGAGCAGGTCTCTGTGCACATCCTTGGTTAACCCCTTTCAAAGTCACTAATGAGTTGTGACTAATTCTCTGCACCCCCCATTGCTCATGGCGGTAGACCAGGTTATCCACTAATTGAAAGGCCTGTCAGATGTTTTCTGTGCCAGATACTGACCTGTGTAAGACGTCTGCATTTGACTTTAAGCAGGCGGTAGGACTGGGAAAGTGCTCTATAAGTGCAGTTACCCTTTGATCATATAGTAAGCAAGCAACGGCTTAATTGGCAGAATTCCTAACAGTCATTTGTCTAATGTAGCTGTTGTCCTTGCACTATTATTTAATTACTGCAGCTCAGAAGAGCGTGTTGAAACTGTAATAGGAAATATTTTCATTGACTCAGTATGTAGTCACTGTAACTAGAATGTAAACTATGCTCAGCAGAGTTTTATTGGAGCACATGAATGTACAGTGTAAGTTAGCTTCCACAATAACACGATATAATTGCTTCTGATTGTTCACATCAAATTAATAATCTCACTTTCCATTTAAGCAGTTGCACAGCCTTTTACTTTCTATCACCATTTTCTTACTACGTTTTTTCTGTTGCGTGTTTTGTCTGGTCAAGTCTGTGGGACTGACCTGTATGATGAACAGTGAAGTGTGCTATTGCTTCCTTTGTGTCCAGCTGAATACGTGTTTCTGTCTCTCAGGTCAGCCCATCAACCCTCAGTGCCGTATCTACCCTGAGGAGATGATCCAGACTGGCATCTCAGCCATTGATGGCATGAATAGCATTGCTCGAGGACAGAAGATCCCCATCTTCTCTGCCGCTGGGTTGCCCCACAATGAGGTGAGATCAGCATACCATTTTATTTCTCTGTCCGGTTTGTAAGTCTGACATCATTATCTGTTTCTGGGTCCTAAACTCCGTCCCTTCAGGTCCCAAAGTCAAACGAACACTGCGGCATCACTGAGAGTTAAAAACTGTCTGAATTCTTTCATCTTTAATAAAATGATCAGTGTTGCTGCTTTACCAGGTGTAACAATTAAGTTTAACATCCAGGCATCCTTGAAAACAGGATTTATTACATTTAACAGAGTTAGAAGTTAGCAGGAAGTTAGCTCGCTAGCTTCTACCTAAACATGATGTAGCATGTTCTGACTGAGAGATTTGTGAATAAATTCAAACGTACAGCTCTGCTATCACTTCCAGCATAAATGAAGACAGAAAACTAAACAGCAGTGACGTTTGTAGGGTTACTGAAGATGGGCTAGCTGGTATATATATATACCAGTATATATAACAAATTTCCCACGTGTGGGACTAATAAAGGTTATCTTATCTTATCTTATATAATGATGTGCTACTTGATCGCTAGCGACACAGCTATGTTAGCATAACATTAGCATAGTGAAGCTGGAGGATGAACGCTAACGCTAACGCAGCAATTTCCTAATGTTTCCTAATGTTGTAAACCTGCTCAACATTTGGCAATAAAACCCTTCTGATTCTGATTCTTCTGATTCTGAACTTTTAAGGGAAAAATGAATGAGAGACAAATTAGTAACAAAAATATTAGTCCAGCAGTACCATTCTCAGTTTTATTGCCATTGCTACAGTGGGGCAAAAAAGTATTTAGTCAGCCACCGATTGTGCAAGTTCCCCCACCTAAAATGATGACAGAGGTCAGTAATTTGCACCAGAGGTACACTTCAACTGTGAGAGACAGAATGTGAAAAAAAAATCCATGAATCCACATGGTAGGATTTGTAAAGAATTTATTCGTAAATCAGGGTGGAAAATAAGTATTTGGTCACCTCAAACAAGGAAAATCTCTGGCTCTCACAGACCTGTAACGTCTTCTGTAAGAAGCTTTTCTGTCCCCCACTCGTTACCTGTATGAATGGCACCTGTTTGAACTCATCATCTGTATAAAAGACACCTGTCCACAGCCTCAAACAGTCAGACTCCAAACTCCGCCATGGCCAAGACCAAAGAGCTTTCGAAGGACACCAGGAAAAGTATTGTAGACCTGCACCAGACTGGGAAGAGTGAATCTACAATAGGCAAGCAGCTTGGTGTGAAAAAATCAACTGTGGGAGCAATCATCAGAAAATGGAAGACATACAAGACCACTGATAATCTCCCTCGATCTGGGGCTCCACGCAAGATCTCATCCCGTGGGGTCAAAATGATCATGAGAACGGTGAGCAAAGATCCCAGAACCACACGGGGGGACCTGGTGAATGACCTGCAGAGAGCTGGGACCAAAGTAACAAAGGTCACCATCAGTAACACACTACAACGGCAGGGAATCAAATCCCGCAGTGCCAGACGTGTTCCGCTGCTGAAGCCAGTGCATGTCCAGGCCCGTCTGAAGTTTGCCAGAGAGCACATGGATGATACAGCAGAGGATTGGGAGAATGTCATGTGGTCAGATGAAACCAAAGTAGAACTTTTTGGTATAAACTCAACTCGTCGTGTTTGGAGGAAGAAGAATACTGAGTTGCATCCCAAGAACACCATACCTACTGTGAAGCATGGGGGTGGAAACATCATGCTATGGGGCTGTTTTTCTGCCAAGGGGACAGGACGACTGATCCGTGTTAAGGACAGAATGAATGGGGCCATGTATCGTGAGATTTTGAGCCAAAACCTCCTTCCATCAGTGAGAACTTTGAAGATGAAACGAGGCTGGGTCTTCCAACATGACAATGATCCAAAACACACCGCCCGGGCAACAAAGGAGTGGCTCCGTAAGAAGCATTTGAAAGTCCTGGAGTGGCCTAGCCAGTCTCCAGACCTCAACCCCATAGAAAATCTGTGGCGGGAGTTGAAAGTCCGTGTTGCTCGGCGACAGCCCCAAAACATCACTGCTCTCGAGAAGATCTGCATGGAGGAATGGGCCAAAATACCAGCTACTGTGTGTGCAAACCTGGTAAAGACCTATAGTAAACGTTTGACCTCTGTTATTGCCAACAAAGGTTATGTTACAAAGTATTGAGTTGTATTTTTGTTATTGACCAAATACTTATTTTCCTGATCTACTGATTTACGAATAAATTCTTTACAAATCCTACCATGTGGATTCATGGATTTTTTTTTCACATTCTGTCTCTCACAGTTGAAGTGTACCTCTGGTGCAAATTACTGACCTCTGTCATCATTTTAGGTGGGGGAACTTGCACAATCGGTGGCTGACTAAATACTTTTTTGCCCCACTGTACATCGTATGGGTTTAAAAACTGATCTTTAAAATGAACAGTGGTAATAAAAACTGAGAGAGGCCAGTGATCATTGCCTGTTTTAGGGGCTTGTTCAGATTAAATAGAACAAGATTCAAAGTATTAAAACATTAAAACACAACAGCCATAATAAATTCAGAGTAGTGTGGTTCATCACGTCCTCACTTAAAGACCAGATATGGTTCGGACAGTCTGCTCCTTAGTTTGCCAGATCACCAGAGACCAGAGGAGGTTAAAGTAGTGCTATCCACCCACCTAATACATGCTCTGTGGTCCAAATAACAACAATTAGAAAAACCCAACCGACACCAGGGAGTTTATGTCCCACTTCCCGCATACAGAAAAAGAATGCGGTACTAATGGGAGAGCACCATTTATATACAGTGATGGATGGTTTATCATGGAGTGGACAGATATTACAGATACATTTACAGCCACTTACATACTTTTTTATTTAGGTATTTATTTAGGTGTTCATGTGTAAAGGCTGAGGACAGGAGATAAAGTAGAATTTACTTAAAAACAAACAGAAGCAGTGGCACGGTGGTTAGCACTGTTGCCGCACAGCAAGAAGGTCCTGAGTTCAATTCCAACATCAGGCCGGGGTCTTTCTGTGTGGAGTTTGCATGTTCTCCCCGTGTTTGCGTGGGTTCTCTCCGGGTACTCCGGCTTCCTCCCACCGTCCAAAGACATGCAGCCTGTGGGGATAGGTTAATTGGATAATCCAAATTGTCACTAGGTGTGAGTGCGAATGGTTGTCTGTTCCTGTGTGTTGGCCCTGTGACAGACTGGCGACCTGTGCAGGGTGTACCCCGCCTCTCGCCCTATGACAGCTGGGATAGGCTCCAGCGCCCCCCGCGACCCTGAAAAGGACAAGCGGAAGCGAATGGATGGATGGATGAAACAGAAGCAGCACTTTGTGTTTTCTTCTCTTTAGAGATGAGAGTAATGGATACGTCCTCCTCATCCTCACTCATGTCAGAGTTCAGACGTGGACAGCTTGTGTATTACATTATCGTTACATTTGTTACAAATGTAACGATTATTTATTACATTACTGATAAAACAAGATAAAAACAATTGGCCTCAGGCTGCTGGTGATCAGTCACCAATCATTAGTGCAGCCCTCATCTTTAGTCTGTCCTTTTGAACCTTTGTCTCTTTAACTCGCAGCTTTAAACTCAACTTATTTCATCCCTGTACTCTGGGAGGTCATGCTTTTACCAAACTGTTGTATCATACCAAGAACTCACAGCTGCTTTGAATACACCAAAAACCTTTTGCTCGCTCAGCGGTTTAAGCTACATGCTTTGGGATATGTTGAGGTCCAATTTTGTGGAAGTCTTTCAGTGGAAATGTTTAACATGAGTGAGTGGGATGATTCACGAGTGGTAGCTGTGGTCCTTCTGTGTCACATGACAGCTGTTTTGTTTCCTTTTTGGAAGTTTTTGTGCCTCACAGTGGAAATTCATGACTCAGTTGTAGTGTGTTCATGTTCAGACACTTCACAAATGTACTACATCCCCAAATATCCCTCGCTGTATAAAGCTGGGTCAGGTTCAGTGTGTTCAGCTCAAGAGCACCAGCTTTATTGTTAGGATTTGATCACCAGCCTAATTTCTGCTCTGTGGACTTATAAGCTCTGTTTTCACCAAACAAACCCATCATTCAGAGCCATGCTGCTAAACAGGTAGGGCACTTACAACAGCACCCACAGCATCCACAGCACCTACAGCCAGATGCCCTGTCGCTGTGCATTATTTAAAACATAAAGAGCAGCTGCTGCTTATGGCAATTTATGTGATATTTAAAACCTTTATTATTGTAGAACAGATCAAAGTGTTACAGTTCAAACCAAAGCAGTGCTAGAGCGAGCGAATGAATCATGTGACCACAAACGCACAGGTGCTTTTTTTTTTTTTTTTCAATCTGTCAGCACGTACTTTTGGAAATATGTTCCAACATTTGTTTCCACTGTGCCCACAAAAGGATCAGCTGTGCATAACTGGATCATTTTACATGATTAACGTGCTGCAGAAGTGCCCAAACAAACGCACAACGTGTTCTCCACCTAATTATGGTCTGTTTGGTGTCATTGTGTCATCAAGCACACGTGACAGAGCTCATCCATGTAGGCCTTTTCCCTTCAGCCACCCTGTGGCTGAATTCAAGGTGCACAGAGAGGTCAGGGCCGTGATCATGTCACACATTCACTACAGCGACACAGCGTCTCTGCAGTCTTATATGTAATGTGGTGGTTTATGTAGGGATTGAATGTCAGATATGAAACGGTAATGAGACTGAGTCCTGATGGAGAGGCAGCTGCAGCCGCTCAGTCACAGTGTGAGTGGCTGTAGTTTCCTAGGTGATTGTCTCTTCATTAATAACAGCAGCTATAGTCTGTAAATAGCACGTGATCATTTTGAGCCTCAGGTGACGCTTTCGTATGGATTTGACTCTAGCTTACATGTTCTTTGAGAGCCTTTTGTCGACTGTTAGCCCTTCTGTCCATCCGTCTGTGTGTCTGACTCTGTTTCTTATTGGTGCTTTCAGATTGCTGCCCAAATCTGTCGTCAGGCTGGCCTGGTGCAGAAGTCCAAGGATGTGATGGACTATAGTGCAGACAACTTTGCCATTGTCTTCGCAGCCATGGGGGTAAGCAGACAAATTGCAGCATTCAGCTTTTCAAACTCTTCCCAGCCCATCTGTGGCTCTAATCCCCCTCTTAACCTTGATGTGACACCTTGTTCCCTCCTCCCGCCCTGCATGTTGTCCTTTATTCACCAGGTGATTTAACCTTTAAGTCCCTCTTGTTATTTCTGCACCTCTGAGCATAGCCCCCAGCCATGTAGACAGCTTAGTAATTCAAAGGCCGCCGTCAGCCTCCCGTATCAAGTTCTGTGTTCCTCAGCTGCTCCTTCCATCTGTTGTAATGCTCAATTGTGATGGCTTGACCTCCAAGGAACGAACACACGCACACACGCACACACGCACGCACACACACACACACACACACACACACACACACACACACACACACACACACTCACTTGCTTCACTTGCTAAATGTAATCCTTCATCCTTTCACCTTGCACAGTTCACATCCCACGGTGGTTGGTGTGTGACGACTGTGGATAAGCAGTGAAGGCAGTGCTTGGATATGCATTTTTAGCACACAGTGTGCACCATCACAGCATCAGAGTGAATCAAGCTGAAACGGTGTGCTGAACGTCACACCTTCAACTGAAACTCTTCCTCAGGTTGTCATCCTAACGCGGGGTCGGCGACCGGGATTCTGCTCGCTGTCACGTTTAAAAATCAGGAATTATTCTTATCTTGGTGTGTTACTTTTTTAAATGTCTGTAAATTTATGAGGTTATGGTGATTTTGTAACATTAAAATGAAACACTCAAACTATGTGTGCTAACTGCTGATGTGTGACGCCTGCGTGTGATTTTCACCATGGATGAATCCAAGCAAAGCTTCTGAAAAAGCCTTTAATGCCACGTGTGCAGATTGATTTGTTTTCACTGCCAGTGTGCTAAACGACAAACAACAACAAGTTTGTGTTGCAGAACATTCCCAGCACAAACACAAAGCCTTTGCTGAAAAATGTGGAAAACACCTGATTCAGAAGACTGGAGGGCTGAAATTCAACTACGTGTGCTGGTTTGTTGGCTGCTCAGGAAATAGTCAGGCCCAGGAAGCCGTTAACAGCAGGAGAGTAAAAGAATTCAGAATATGTCTTTGTCAGACTTGACAAATGAGAGACGTGTCTCTCTCTGCAAAGACTGTAACAGACAGAAACATGAAAATAGCAGAAACGTCACCAGCGGTCTGTGATGAGTCCAAAGGTGTACGAATCACAGTGTTCTGCTGTGAGCGCTGCTGGGCCACAGAAAGGATCCCACTGACAGACCAAACACAGGTGTGGGGTTGTGGTGTGGGTGGCTGCTGATAGGCTTTGTAGCTTCACTGCAGACGTCACTGAGCAGAGCATCGCTGATGTTTCACTACAGCCTGCACCAAACTTTCCCTGAGCATGAATGTTGTCATTCAGATTGTGACCAAAGTCATGGCTGCAGGTTTAAACCACTGTCAGGCCTGTTACTGGACCACGTGGACATCCTGCTGAACAACGACGTCTGACCACGGGGAAGTGCTGACGTGCTCTGCAAGCAAAGGGATCACGATGAGCTGGAGCAGCCAGAGTGGTGGAAAAGCTACACATGGAGGATATGACAGCGCAGCCCGGCACAGGCTGGAGGAGGCTTTCAAGTGCAATTTGGCAGTGTTAGCCAGAGACTTACAGTCTCTTACAGTTACAGACTTACATTTCAAAAAGACTTACAATGTAATAAAGTATCTGCAGTCACCACAGTGCAAACTTGGATTCTGTGAGTTCAGAGAGGAAAACGCCACATCATCCTTTCCTGTCCTTCACCATCCATCGCTGTTTAATACGACTGCAGGTGTAAGTCAAACATATATGTCCAAGTTCTGGACGTCCTGGGCGCGGCCCGCCGGGGGACGTGACGTCCTGGGCGCGGCCCGCCGGGGGACGTCGTGTGTTTCTGATTGTTTTGGTCAGACTGTGCCTGAGGTCGCGGCTCTGGCACTGCTCATCGTGTCTAACAGTATAACATCAAGTCCACTGAGGAACTTTGACCGGTGGTTGAATGTGGTTCTCGCAGCCATCAGTCACATGTGCTGTATGGTAAATAACATGTCTGTGTAGCTGTGTGCGTTGCTGACACTGAACTACTCGCCTGGTACTAATGTTGTGAACCTTCCACATGGAACAGTGATCGAATTTCCATTTCTGAGTTGAAACTGAAGGAAGGAGGATGATGAACGTGTTTATATTAATGACGTCAACTGTAAGTCTTTATGAGGAGTTTTACAAACATCACGTTCCCTTCGTGACAGAATGGCTCGCTCCTGCTCTTTGCTGCCTTTTCAGTACCTTCATGCCTTCAGACGTTCTTGCATCTCTCCAGGACACCTCACAGTTTGTGAAGCCACTAATGTTCCAGAGATGATTTCTGAAATGCTTATGGCATCTGTTTCAGGTCAACATGGAAACGGCTCGTTTCTTCAAGTCTGACTTTGAAGAAAATGGCTCTATGGACAATGTCTGCCTTTTCCTCAACTTGGCCAACGACCCCACGTAAGAAATGATCTCCAGCAGTAGTCTGGCTGATGTTGTACATGTGGGCTGCTGTGTGTGTTACTCGTAATTGTTTGTCTCGTGGACTGAGAGCTACTAAAGATCTTGACTTTTCTCTTGCGGCTAACTAGCATCGAGCGTATCATCACTCCCCGCCTGGCGCTGACGACGGCAGAGTACCTGGCCTACCAGTGTGAGAAACACGTCCTGGTCATCCTCACCGACATGAGCTCCTACGCTGAAGCTCTGAGAGAGGTACGACTGCCTTTACTGTCTTTGGCTCAGCTAATGTTTAGGTGTTGTTTGTCAAAATAACATCGGTGTAAAAGCCAAATCCCAGTGAGTCACAACGTTTTAATCTAATGCTCTGTATTCAGGGCTCTAGAGTGCGACCATATTTTTCAATGATGCGACTAAAAAAAATCTTTGGTGTGACCAGCTGTTCAAGGTTTTGAAAAAAACGTAAACACAGAGCGGACCCGACGCATCACAATCAGCTTTCTCACACGGACACGGCGTCGGGCCGAAAGCCGACAGCTCGCTGACTCTGATGCGTCGGCGCTTTGTGTTTCCGTCTTTTTTGCACTCGATTCTGAGCTGCAGGTTTTATCTCTCTCCAACCAAAATTCACTGAAGCAGCAGCAAAAGAAGATCCAAACTACGCTCCACATTTGATAAATGTCGTCATGAATCCCCTCTGACTTCTGCTGCTTTGCTACCAGCACAATAAAATCACACTTCCTGCACAGCTCTCTCTGTGCTTCGAGAACAGTTTCCCGTCTCAAATCTCTGTTTCCTGCATCATTCATTCGTTTATCACCCTCCAGTCTACCATTGTTTACAGCGCTGTCGGCCGCTCGGACGAGAAAGCCTCATTTCTGCTGTTCAATACTGAAGAAATGTAAACTTCTTAAAACTATGCAATATTGCAGAATATTTTAAAGTTGATCTGCTATAGAAAACAGGAAAATCCCCTTCATGTTTTTCTGTTTTATCCTCAGTTACTTTGACACAAAGGCCTCTGCTGTGATGCTCACACCTCTGATGAAGGCTCACATGTATCAATGCTGATAAACCATCAAATTATAATATTTCTGACTGTCTGAGGCTAAATCAAATTGAATCGAATCAGGACCTCGTGAATCGGAATTGAATGCATTACAGAAATCAGTGATGATGTTAGCCGTAGTGAGCAGCCTCGGCCCGACAGAAGTGGATGTAGCTGTGGGTAAAAAGGTGGAAAGAACTACTGATAACTTTTTTGTTAAGGCCTGATCCTTCTGAAACTCATAGCCAGCTCTGACACGGAGCCATCTGAAAAAGCACAGTGTATCCAGGAAACACATTATGTGCTGCGATAAATGCCCAAGTGTCCCCTCTAACACGGCCTTTCAGTGGCAAGCAGGTCGTCAGAGGAGCCGATGTGATGATTACGTTTAACTTGTCTACAGTATCACCAAAGAGAGCCAACGCACTTTAAGCACTTTAAGCACAAGCTTGTTAGTTAATCTTTTACAAATCAATATTGTCTGTGTGGACAGCAGTTTCCCACATGTAAAACTGCGGTGTTCAGCGATGCGGTTGAAAAAGTTAGGCGCACCAGGGCAACGGTGGCCCTGCATGTTAAGGTCACTAATTCTACTGCTGGTTTGGTTGTTTTAATGCAGATAAGTGTGTTAAACAAATCCAACGACTCCTCATGCCCGGGCTCACAGTCGTCGTGGTTACTGGTTCTTCTTTATGAAAGGTTGATAATTTTACATTTACCATTCTGACCTGAAGAGTCTTTGGACGACTCTGGTAGGACGAATCCACATTTTAAATGTTTTTTGGTGTTTCACGTGAGTCTTAACCTCATCAGCAACTCTTGGCCGAGGATTCTTTAGCCTACAGTGACCACTGAGATTCCCTAACACTGACCAAAGGACACTTAAACGCTGCTTACATGGGGACAACGTCGACTCATAGATAGCAACACATTTTTCTGGCACAGCCTCCGAGGTGCACGGAGAAGACAAAGAGCTGATGTGTGGACAGTGACACTTACAGGATCAGGGAGCAGCTCTGCATTAGGCCTTCTGCCTCATTGCAAGACGTCCAACTGTTTGTGTTTAAATTAATGTTAATTGGTCAGCTGGTTCATTTGTGTCGCTGGAGTGTCCACAACAACATCAACTCGTGTCATCATGCTGCTGTGCATAAAAAGGGGAACCTTTAGGTTCTCACATTTCCATGGCTGATATTTGTTGCCAGAGGCTTTTCACTGTGTCATTGTATGCACGTTGTACCTCTGAGAGTGAAAACAAAGGCCAGACCTTCATGGGTGTTGGTGGATTATATATCCATTGTCACAGAGGCTTTACTGAGCAATGTTGTGCAGGAAACCTGAGATGCTGCCATATCCCAGGTAAATATAAATCAGCTGAATAACCCTTCAGGCTCATCTGCAGAAGCTAACGTGGTCAGCGAGTTCTTCTTCTCAGTGTTAAATCCTAGAAGTTGTTTTTAATTGTGTCCTATTCTTTTCACATTCAGTTTACATGCAGCTTTTCCATCTGCTCTCTCACTCTGCCGCACATATATGTATGTATGCCACATATTCAGCAGTGTGTGGTAGATACTGAATCCTCTCTCAAGCTGCACTCTGGCACAAAGTCAACACCCCCCAGTGTAAAACCTCAGCAACATCAGCACAAAGGTGATAGACTCACTAAAGTCGTGAGCTCCTGCTGAAAGGGAGGATAATGTGTCCTTCAGTCTACTAGGAAATACCTTAACTTCATTATTGTAGGTCTGGCTTTAAAAGGAAATGGACCCCCCCGATCCCCACTCCCCTCACACCCACTGCCCTCCTTTCTCCTTGTTGCGAGGAGTCGGGTCCTCTCAACTCACTCTTTTGTGTCTCCGTAATAATCCTTTTGTGTTGCACAGTTTGCTGTTTCAATATGTTGGCATAGCACAGTGTGGGTTTTTAAAGGGTGCATGTGTGTTTGCTGTTCATAACCTTGGCACATGTACGTCTGCACCAATAGTCAACTGAGCCTCGGGCAGCTCGATGGGTAATTCAGCGTGTACAAAGAGCCGGGACATTAACATTTAACTTCTGTTTCCATTCACAAGCGTGAAGGTTGAATTTTGCATTGACTCTGCTGTTCAGCATCGTGGAGACTGCCCATCAACCTTTCAATCCACAGGTGAATAGGATCCATTTTCTTTCCCTCTTGCTCTGAATCCGGTGAACTTTTAGAACAAAGATTTGCTTTGGTCATTTTTGTAGAGGGTCTCCAACAGAATGGCAGCATTTCCAACCAGCTCTTTGCCTCTTTTGTAACCGAAATGGAAGAGTCAGCATCACTTGACTCTGCAGAAGTAAAGACTAGTGTTTGTCTTTGTTTTGAGTCTTACAATAATTTGATGTCTTCAGTTTAAATGCCAAATCCTGTGTTGCAGCCCGTTTACCCGAGGATGCAGAATGATGCTGTGCCAACCTCTGAATTGGTTTCAGACCAAATTTAAGTCAGGTGTGAAAACACTCATATAGCAGCTGTCAGTTTTTAAAGTTTCTTTTTCCAAACATATTGACTTGGAGGGGATCATTCCCTAACCTTGGTCACAGTGGTGAGCAGCACCGTCGCCTCACATCAACGTTTCAGACCTTGGAGTTTGTGTTGTCTACTCCAGCTTCCTCCCATGGGTGGTAAATAACTGCAGATCTGTGGCTAACTGTAACCAGTCTGTTGCGTCCCTCTGCAGCCTCTAATCTGCTCAGTGTGTTCAGCTGGTGCTAATTGGCCACACCTAATCAGGTGTGGATAAAAGCATACCTGAGGCAAGCTTCCCAGGGAGCTCCCTAGTCTTTGCCTCGGTGGCACCAGCCGTTTTAGCCAACCTGAGAGTCCATTTTAAGATAAAACCTCGTTTCACCTACACTCTGGTATTCGTCTCCTTTTTTATGTTGCGGCTTTTGAGCCGGGTCGTAACAAGTCTAAAGTGTTTGGACTGGCCAGTGAGACCAGTAAAGACTAGACTATATCCAGTACCAGTGACCAAAGTAAATGACACAACCTGAACATTTTTCCCAGATGAGATTCAAATATAAAGGGAATGTCTCATTACAGCCTTTGTCTGCTTCCCCCAACTCGTCCTCACCTTTAGGTCTCTGCTGCCCGAGAGGAAGTACCCGGGCGTCGAGGGTTTCCTGGCTACATGTACACAGATCTGGCCACCATCTATGAACGCGCCGGCAGAGTGGAAGGCAGAAACGGCTCCATCACCCAGATCCCCATTCTGACCATGCCCAACGATGGTGAGAGCACACCGCCTGCCATAGCTCTGAGCTGAAGCCTCATGTCTCTACCTGTGTGTGGTCGTCAGTCATCCACCTGTCCTTAAACGAGTTAATCTGCCCATGAGGCAACTGAATTAATGGAGGAGGTGTCTAAAGTGGAATGAGTAGACATTTTTGATGCCGTCAGTTACCATGGAAACATGTATGAAGAGCCTGCTCCTGTCTGAACATGACCCGCCCCCCCACAGCACTGCAGGGAGGGTGATTGTGTTGGCTTTTACAAAGGGCTCCCTGCTCTGGAGTAACACAGCCTCTCTGTGCTGGTGCAGCTACGTCTTCATAGTCATCGTGTTCCAGTTCAACAAATGCATTTGTCTCTTTGAACAGACATCACTCATCCAATTCCTGATCTGACTGGATACATCACAGAGGGCCAGGTGTATGTGGACAGACAGCTGCACAACAGACAGGTATGTGTCGGTCCGGGCTTTGAACCTGTGGCCTCACAGGTCAAAACCTGAAGAACAATATTAACATAATGATAACTGATGATGTCTGCAGACGATCGTGTTGTGCCCAGGTCCTCCGTGTCACATCTGTCACTGCAGAAATCAGTCTGTGTACCGAGAGCACATGCTCACTGCACGCATGTAGCTCATGTTTGATGGACACTCGACCAAACAGAAACATTGTTTTTTTTTAAGTAAAGGTTTTTGGGCAGCACGGTGGTTAGCACTGTTGCCGCACAGCAAGAAGGTCCTGAGTTCAATTCCACCATCAGGTCTTCCTGTGTGGAGTTTGCATGTTCTCCCCGTGTTTGCGTGGGTTCCCTCCGGGTACTCCGGCTTCCTCCCACCGTCCAAAGACATGCAGTTTGTGGGGATAGGTTAATTGGAAAATCCAAATTGCCACTAGGTGTGAGTGCGAATGGTTGTCTGTCCCTGTGTGTTGGCCCTGCGACAGACTGGCGACCTGTCCAGGGTGTACCCCGCCTCTCGCCCTCTGACAGCTGGGATTGGCTCCAGCGGAAGTGGATGGATGGAAAAGTTTTGTGGGTTTTTTTTATGTTGTCTGACAAAGTCAGTATGACAGGAAATGCTAACCTGCCAGAAGGAGAGTCTTTGATCCACGTGCTGCACGTGTTTGGTTTTTCCTCAGCCTGCGACGTGTTTGACATGAGTCTCCTCTAAAGTTTTGATCGAAGCTGTAAACCAAAGCTAGACTGTGTGTTCCAAACTACATGATCCTGCACATTTCACAGTAAAGACTCCCTGCGTGCTGTACCTCAGCTGCTGTGTTTTTGGACAGCAGCAGGGACACACGGGACTGTGAGCTATGAATGTTAGAGCACAGCTTGCTGAGGAGTTTGTCCTTATCTTGTTCCACACACAGACTTTTCATCCCAGTTAAATCAGACTTTGGTCAGAGTTGTTTGGACAGGTCTGACCTAAGAAACCACGCTGCAGTGTGGACACAGCACAGAGCCAGATCTTTTAAAGAGCCGGCCTGTTTCTCTCATTTGGAGCTGAACAGCTGCCCTTTGTGCTTTTCCACAATATCCAGTAACACCTGTAACCTCATCCTACGTCTTTCAGATCTACCCACCTATCAACGTGCTGCCCTCTCTGTCCCGTTTAATGAAGTCTGCCATTGGAGAGGGGATGACCCGGAAGGACCACGCCGATGTGTCAAACCAGCTGGTAAACCGTCTCGCACGTTGCACCATGAATAATGTGTGTGAGGGCAGCAGTGTTGGTATGCAGCAGTAATAGTTCACGCAGTGAGTGTGTGTGTGTCTGCAGTATGCCTGTTACGCTATCGGTAAGGATGTCCAGGCCATGAAGGCCGTGGTGGGAGAAGAGGCGCTCACCTCGGATGATCTGCTGTATCTGGAGTTCCTGCAGAAGTTTGAGAAGAACTTTATTGCTCAGGGTAAGAAAAGCGATCTGCACACCGACAGACAGCAGCTTTGTATCACACTGTGTAACAGGAACACAAGAACACAACATTTCATTACAGCATTTTATTCACATAGTTTTCTCCTACGTTCCTTCATCTGCGACCTCACTGACACCTTTATTAGATTCAGTTTATAGCCTCAGTCGTCAGTTTCAAGTATTTATAAAAAGGTTGGTTAGAAGAGCTGAAGGAGGAAAGCAGGGCACGCTGAACGGCTACAACTAACTGATAGCTTTTATTTTAAGTTCCACATATTTGAAGCATCTTAGGGGCCTTTATTTTGAAGGTGTGTCTCGGCCCTCCTCCTCCATCGTGTCAGCTTCCTCGTAGTGCTGGGGGGTTTTGTGACTGCACTTGGGGACACATTCAGAGGTGCTCCTCTGTTCCTTCAGGTCTTAAACGGATGCTGCACGGTGGTTCGTCTTTACGATCACCACCTGTCAGCCTCGTGCGTTGGATCAGCTGTGCTTGCGGTCCATTGGACCCTGCTGTGAAGCTCAGCTCAGTGTTTGCACTGCAGTCACAGTGCAGTCTGTTACTTGTTTTGAATATGATTTGTAAGATTGTTACTGTTTAGTAAACAACAGATATGTAGTTATTATCTCACAGCAGTGAGGTCAGCCTGTAATCAGCATGTAACGTATGAAACTACGGCTGTTTTCTTCTGTCAGAGCGCTCTGCTGCGAATACCTGCAGCTGTTTTGGCATTTATTGTATGTCTGAGGTTACGTTTGTTCCTGGAAAATACTGATCTGTGAGGGTTCCTTCTTTTCTTCTCTTTGAGTGAGTAACGTGTTAAAATGGCGTAATCTTCTTGGTAAATACAGAGCCTTATTCCTCTTCTCAACACTAATAGACTCCAGTAGTGTAGCAGAGAGGAATGTTCCTGTGCATCCCGACAGCAGTATCCAAAGCATGTGGGAAACACACGTCACAGTTTGTATGGAGGCGGCTCTGCAGATGTGAGTGATGGGGCTGAGACCGCTGCAGGTTACTCAGCTCTCACTGATCATTTCAGCAGTCGGTCTGGAGAAATTGAGCTTGGGTTAAAATAAAAATGGGAGCACGATGAAAAGGTGTATGACGTTCTCCAGAGTACTTCGTCGTGGAGTGCACCACACGTTCGATTTCCTCATGTCAGTGTTTAATCAGCGAGTGACTGACGTGCTCTTTGTGTTACTGTTATACCGTCAGTATAAAGCACCTGGAGGCGACTGCTGTGGAGATTTGTTTCTATATAAATGCATTTGAATTTACTGAGAGGCTTTTTCATTGTGTTCGCATCACGTTTCTGTTTTAAAAACTGCACCTTTGATAAAAGCTACATGTAAGGTTACTGCAGTTGTAACACTGGATGTGTTGGTGTGTTTTGCTAACTGTGACTGCTCTGTGTGTCAGGCCCATACGACAACAGGACGGTGTACGAAACCTTAGACATCGGCTGGCAGCTGCTGCGAATCTTCCCCAAGGAGATGCTCAAGAGGATTCCTCAGAGCACGCTGGCAGAGTTTTACCCCCGAGAGTCTGCTCGTCACTGAGGCACACGTCACCATGCTCTGGTTCTGCTAACAGGCCGTTTCCATGTCTCAGTAATAATACCCCCTCCTTTAGATTCACTGTAGTGTGTTCGTGTATGAAAAGTGTCTGAGTAAAGAGTAAGTGTATCCTAATCAGTCCTTATTTATTGTGCTGTTATATATCAAGATATCTTCTTTATCAAATAAAGCCCAACGAGAGCAAAGCAAAAGGTTTCCTGTAGAGACCCGTGATGATGCCACCATGTTCTCAGAAAGATGTTATTTCATGATTTAGTAACTGTACAGAAACACGTACAGGCACCGGTGTTTGTTTTAAGGACGGTCAGCGCTCTCTGCTCTCCGTGTTACGTGGACCTGGATGCTTTCTTCTGCCCTCTGGACCTTCTTGCTTCTTCTCTGCATTTACATTTTTGTGCTGTTTTGATTTGTCTTGCAAAAACATGAGTGAGTGTATTTTAAAGAAATCACATCTGTCTGCAGAAACTGTTTATTGTGCAACCATGGTTCTGTGAGTTTACATTAAATTATATGACGGTGCTTTGTTGTGTGTCCTGGATCATTGTCCCCTGCTGCCAACATCTGAGCTACAAAAACATATCTGTTAGCGGCTGTAACAAAAGTATAAATATGTAACTACAAGGCTCCCTCATCCTTTCTTTTTAGAGCTGTGAACTCTAAACCAGCTCTCCCAGTTTCTGCTGACACAGCCAGTGTCCTCCCTCACTGCCTTCATCAGCTGTTAGCATCAGATGAGCCAGTGTGACAGTTAAGCTAACGTCATCCGTCTGTGTGGAGCTGCTACAGGATACAATGTGCTGCACACCAGAAGAGCAAAGGATAAATGAAGGCTTTGTGTTTCATGTTGCTTCACATTGAATTCTTACAGGATGTGTTTGAATGGAAAATTAATCTGCAAAGAAAAACCGCGCAGCTGTCTTCACTGTATCGGCGCCACGGTTCATTTATCGTGACTGAAGTGGATACAAAGTAAACAGCATCGTTCTTCTGCTGTTGATATTTCTATATTTAATGTTGACGTCCGCGTGCCAGAATATTGATGAGCCGGGCTTATTATTGCTGTTATTATTTTTGTTGTTGTTTTTAATCCTTTTGAGGTCAAAGTGGAGATTCTAGTTGTTCAGAGACAAACAACCTCGGTCAGTGAACTCGTGCTACAAAGGAAATGATTCCTGTTCTGGCACAAAACCACACAAACAATGTGCCAAGGTGTCCGTGGAAAGGACGTTTCTACACAGACGAGCTTTCAAGTCCTGTTTTCATAGTTTCATATTATTCTTTATATTTCTGGTTTTATTGTGAAGCACTTTGACTTGTATCTATGAATCGTGCTGTGTAAATACAATCAACTAGACATGCTAGTAGTGACATTTCGTGAAGCAGCGAGAGACGAGCGTCGTGACGTTACCGACAGAAATGACACGTTTATTATTGTCACGTGGTGTCTGACGTTTTGCCTGATTATTTGTATCCTCTGTGTCTTTACTGTATGAAGAGCCAAGACTCCAACGTTTCGGGAGTAATAAGTTATTAAAGGAAGTGTTTGGGAACTAAAAATCAAGAATGGCAGATGCAAGGTTATCAGCGGTTCCATCCTCGTACAATAAAGAGGATGTGTTGCATGACATGTGTTTCATAAAGCCATCTACACTAAGCTTGTTGTAAAGGATGCAACAGCCGTGGCAGTTCGTCTGGAATCAAGTGTGATCCGCACATTCCGACTTTATTCTCAAAATAATCACTGATACTGTTCCTAATGTGGCCCTAATGCTCCCAGCTGCACTCTTATCTCGTGCTGTGTCCACCTGGGCAGGTGTGTCTTGAAAGAACACTTCCTGTTGAACTTTGGACAGGGATTTCTGTCATGGCTGCGGAGGAACTCGACAGAATTCATGTTATTACAAAGCTGTCGAATCAGGGTAAGTTTCTTTTCTGGTCCTGTAAGTGTTTCCAGTAGTAACGCTGCATTTTACTGCAGTGACATCACAGCCCAGCAGTTTAAGATCCTGAAGAGCGTCTTTAAGATTTACTGCTTGGCCAGTGTTGAGGGCTGGGTTATCACATAGCTGCTTATTTGCCTTCTCTAAGGGTTTTGTTTCTGTGGCCAAAGGTGTGTACAGTAAGTGTGCTTTAGCTTGACATAACAACTCTGCCACAGTCTAACGTGGCCTGTGGATTAGACAGCTAATCTTAAATCAAGCCTGTGGTGAAAAAAAGAGGTTGGACCCAACTCAAGACCCCTCGTGTCATTCTATGTAAAGCATGAGACAGCAAGAGAAGCACACATGAAGGCAGGATAATCCATGTAGATGACCTACTTCTGGGTTTTGCACGCTTGCTGACTGTCGTGGCTCACTGGGCAACTTGATGAAACTTAAAATGTTCCCAGTGGGAGAAATGTTTCGTCACTTATCCCAGTGACTATTTCAGTCACCACATGCAGGTTTGCCCAACCTTATTAACAGTTTGTATAAGGAATGAACAATGGGCTGTGAGGTCATTGATCTTTAATATGCACTTTGTCATGAACACTGATCAATAACCATGAGTCCCATTGACAGAGAGTTGGGGAATGGCTGCAATCACAGCATTGTAAGATGGTGACAGATGGACCCTTAGGCCCCTCCTCCATTCAGAGATGGTCTTTCCCTTTTCATGTAAATGGCCTCCTTGACTCCGCCCTCAAACCAGCGTTCCTCCCTGTCCAGGATGTTAACATGCTCATCATTGAAAGAGTGTCCACTGGCCTGTAGGTGTGCATAGACTGCAGAGTCCTGGCCTGACGAGGTGGCTCTGCTGTGTTGTAGCCAGAGCTTGTTTGGTTTCCCTGATGTATAAATCCTGGCAATCCTCCTGCACTTAACAGCGTACACTATGTTACTCTGTTTGTGTCGGTGGACCCGATCCTTGGGGTGGACCCGATCCTTGGGGTGGACCCGTTTTTGGCGCAGCGTGTTTTGGGGTTTAAAAGCCACAGAGACGCGTTGTTTAGAAAAAATATGTCTCAGCTGTTCCGATACTCCTGACACGTACAGGATCACTACAGGTTTTCTCTTAGGCAGCAGTTGTCCTTCTCTCCTGGATCACCTGGAGCTTTCTTTAGGTGCCTTCCCAGCTTTGACAAATATCCAGCTGGGATAACCACATTTACTCGGGGCCTTCTTGATGTTCTTCTGCCTCCCTGGCTGCTGTGTCAGTGGGGATGGTGTTCGCTCTGTGTTGTAATCTGCAGTCGGCTGTGACTGAAGAAGTCACTTGGATGAGCGATGAAAGGTAGCAGAGGGGATTGTTGATCAGTTTCAGCAGCTTTGGTCTTAATGAAATTAACATTAGACGGTTAGGGTTAGTGAGACAAGCCCTCCAAATACAACTGGTTGAACAGGTGGAATCCACTGACACTCTTTTCTGACTGTTTTCTTTTCACTTTGAATTTGCTTGGCTCAGTGTCACTAATTGTTGCATGAGGACAATACAGGGACTGCACAAGTCCGAGTCCTCTAAGATGTCACATAAATATGTGCTATTGCCAGAAAGTCTGGTCTCTCTCAGCACAGTCCCAGGAGCATGGGGGCGATTCCAGGAGACAGGCAGGTATCTACAGCAGCATGACAGGCGTGTCTAACCTGACTCCTACAGAGCACTTGACTGGAAGACGCCTCTTTCAGCACACCATTACGTTGCTCTCATAATGGGAAGGCAACGTAGATGCTGATGGGACCAGCATCTGCATCTGCAAGGAGGAACGGGACGAGTGCTGCCAGAGGCTTACTAAATGACCTCCAGTACTCCACTGGTGTAAATGTGTCTGACCAGTCAATCAGAAGCCGACTCTGTGAAGGTGGCCTGAGGGCTCAGCGTCCTCTGCTGGGCTCCTCGCTCTCTTCCTACTTTCCTGTCCATCTCCACCGTCACTGTGGAATAAGGACAAATGCAAAAACATAATATTATAATATTAAAAAAGTGTTCACAGTAGTTGATCATCATTTAATTAAGTGCATTTAATTAGCCCCACATGGCTGCTAACTGCTAACTCTTATGAAAGAAGCTAGGGTGTATTTAGTTTTTCACTGGATGGAGTCCTGTGGGAACTTTGGTTTTCTCATGACTGTATATCAAAGATAAACGTGGCTGTTGTCACTGTTGTTTTTGAGACGGTGCATCTCAAAGACTGTTGTGTCAAGATTTTGGCTTCTGTCATTCTGGCGTTTTGGAGCCAAACGTGACCATATTTTAAAAAGAGAAGTGCTAAGTTATTACCTAATGCAAGCCTGCATCCATAAACTGTACAGGTTCAGCGCACAGACACACATATCTGTTTAAACGTCCACCAAACGTGTTTGGTGTCTGTGCATTACTGTAGGCCAACCTGGAGGTATCCAGCATTGTCCAGGACAACATCTGCCTGGCTGACACCACCTTTAGAGTCCAGTTTAGAGTTGGGTAGCCTGAGTCCAGTGATGGCCTTCATGCAGACCTCTTTCACACCGTTGTCTCGAGTTCCTGCTCCAGCTTTCTCTTATACTTGTCCTTAGCCTCTCTGATCCTGTCCCTCAACACTCCCTGAACATTCTCACCTTCTCTCTGGTGCCGCTCTGAAGCCCCTCTTCTTGTCCTTGAGGAGGGCTGTGATGTCCGTAGTCACCCACAGCTTTTTATTTGGGAAAAGTGCACAGTCCAAGCTGGGACGATGGAGTTGGTGTAATCATTACGACCAGTAATATAACCTGGCCCGTGTTAGAGTAAGGATGCATAATGATGTTTGAGGCATGTTTTTTGTAGTATAACTGAAGTTAAAACATAATGTTGTGACTACGTCAAGCTAGCTCTCAGCATAATGTGCAATCAGCTCTGTGACTGATTAACGGGACAAAAGAAAAGGAGGACGTTCCCTCTGTTTTCACGTGTTCACGGTGTACTGCTTCGACGAAGAGAAAGTGAATCAAACTCCTTACCTGTGTGATAACGAGCTTTCTAACAAGTGTAATGTACAGTTGTGGTCAGATGTTTATGTGCAGTCATCATGAGCACAAATGTTATGGTAAGTTTTTCCAGGGTGGAATGACTATTTCATTTTTTTGGTTTAGCACAATTTATCTACACATGTATTATGGAAGGTAGTTTCCTGCACTACGTGCACGCAAGCCAGTTATATTTAGACGGTACTATATTCAAAATAGCGTGCTATAATAGTCCTGTGACACGACACAAGTGTGACTGGATGAGACATTATCACATGCTAGAGAAGCTTCCACTGGGCTCTTTGAAGATGAAAGGAGCTCTTTACTGTGACTGAGTGATGGCGATGGCTTACTGGCACCCTTTGCTCCCCACAGCCCTGCACGAGTATGAGGATCTTCAGAGAAAGCAAGAAACTACAGCCATGGAAGTAAGTGTTACAATCTAATGTTTACAGTCTGCAGACCTCGATCAGCTCTGATCCAGCTCGCTTACAGTAGCAACAAGTGTAACAGCTGCGATAGATGAGAACAGTTGGTGCTCACAGTAATAGAAGCTGGCCGAGCAGCGGGGCAGCAGGGTAACACTTCTTTCTTTGTTTATTTGAACAATAAAAACATTAACTAAAATATTTTGGTTTCAAAGTGATTAAAAAGCATCGAGCTGATAATAACCTCGAGCAGGTCCAGTACTCAGTGTTGTGTTAAATAGCTGCCATGATCACATTTTTGTTATTGTCTAAAACTAAGCAGATATGAGGTCAGTCTGTGTGTAATATTTGTCTTTAACTGTTTCGAACACTGAGAATGAACAATGGCAAAAAAATCACTTCTATCTCTCCAAGCGTAGTCCCTCTTATGATTGCTGCAATATTGTTGTGACTGTAGCACACTGGAAACAATCACGAGTTCCACAGCAATGGAGCTTTTCACAGGTGAGCCTGAGTCACCTGCCAAGCTTTTGTTTCCCTGCTCCATTTCTAAAACGTTTTCACACTAAGATTAGCCCGTGTGATTCCTCACACAGAACACGGATCAGGAGAATTACAATAGAATTAGAATCAATATTGACTTCACTCCTGTTGTGAAGCTAATGTTGGGTAACGTAGTTAGACCTTTAGTGCTCATTTCCCCCTGTTTCAGCAAATAACATGGCGTCCAGTATAGGAACAATACTTGTTCATGAACATTGTAATCTACACAGTATTCCAGGAAGTAATATCACTGATATTGTACAGTATTGTTTTATTATGAGCAGTGAAGGATTAATAATGAACCACCTGCTATAACGGTGTCCACATCCTCTGTGAACAGAGCTCAGTGTGCGTCCAGTAAACTTAAGCTGAACACACAGTGTTGATCTTTAGCATCAAGCCAAACTGGATCATCTGTAAGGCTCAGTTTAGAAGGAAGTTTGACCAGATAATGATTTACTGATATTTAATGGCAGAAACAACAGTGAATGAGGACAAAGTAGCACAACAATCTATTTCATTTGTTTGGTTTAGCACAATTTATCTACACATGTATTATGGAAGGTTAGGTACACGTAGGACTAAACATGGCTGCTAAACAAAAGGTCTGAGGTGCTCACAGAGACCATCAGGGGGTTTTCCCTTCTTAACATCTACATAGTTTTATATACTGTCATCGCATTTAAATGACCTGCTTTTCCAGACTGAGCTGTGGCATTGCATAAAGGTTAATGATGAACTGAAGCTACTCTGTGTCTTACATAAGTTCAAGAGGCTGGAAGAGGAGCGAGACGAGGCGATGAAGAAGCTCTCTGAGTTCCAGCAAGGTAAGTTCACCTGTGTCCAAAAGTGAGATCCCCATTGCACCAACATGTTTAACTCACTATTGTTTGCACATCAATGCTTAATACACATATCACAGCTCTGAGCATGTGTCATACGTGTCTATGGCGCTAACACATACAGTGGGTAATCCCGATCTAAGATTATGAAATTGTCCAGCGTCTGTAGCTTTTCCTTTAGAGCCGCACTCTTCCTGTTCTACATGTCAAAGTCCGTTTGTTGGCCAGAGAGTAAACGATTGAACCTGGAGGCGCTTTGGTTTGGATTTATGTTTCTGTGAACAGCTGACAGTTTAAAAGACATGCATACCTGACACATATGACTAAAAGGAAATGCCTTTGGGCTTTGTGACAAATCCATATTCATGAATTACTCACAATGGAAATACAGTAATAAATTCACAAGCAAAAAGTAATAAGTACAGTATGTATGTAACACAATAATTATCAAACTATCAGAAGTTACACTGTTACAAAGTCAAACTGCAGCTGCATGAATAAGATCTGCACATACACTGATCGAGTGGTTTTAAACACCAAATAATTACGTTTACAAGACAAAGATTTTTTTTTTCTCCCACGTGGATTTTGTTTTCTCCCGTGTCCCTACATTGAGAGAAGCTCAGCTATATTCATGCAGTCAGCCAGCTGGATCTACGGCAGAGTAAGCCCTCGTCTTCATTCCTGCCAAAGCTTTTTCAAGTCAAATGCAGGGACTCAGGTGGCGATCCAAGGATGTTCTAGTGTTGGTTTCTGAACCTGGTTTGGTTGCAATCGTGCTGCTGCTGGAAAGTCCAGTAATTATTAAGGCCTCCATCTGCACATTAGCACGATCACGTTATTCTTCACAAAGGATTTTAAAGACTCAAACACCTGTAAATCAGGTTTCATCAGTTCTGTGGCTGAACCACCGTCTGAGCTCATACTGAGCTTGTGAAGCTCGTCATAAACGTTGCTTATCAAGCTTATCAAGTATAATTTCACTGAACAAGCAGACTTTATGTACAGCAGTATGTACATATTCCAGGTGACTTTTACACAGCCTTAAAGAATGAAAGCAGCGAGTTGTCTGGAAAATAAGTACTTGCTGGTTCAGTGTTGTACCTAAAGACTTCATCAGTCCTCCAGTAACTCTTTGGCATTTTTCTGTTGAAGTCATTTCTCTTGTGAGAAATATTAATGGTGCTTCCACTCGCAGTAAGACTTCCTGCTGTTGTGTGCATCTGCTGCCATCTGTGTCTCTTAAAACTTCTGAAGTTTGAGTCCTGTTATCATGTAAAACAATAATACGGCCAAAGTGTAGGATTAGTTTGATTCATTTGGGCTTAATAATGATCTGGTGGCTCTCTGGCCTCCTGTTGGTGTCACTTACAGCAGGCTTTTTAGGAAGCTCCCGATTTTCAGAAATGGGAGTTTAGTCAGGAGTTTAGTCTGATATACACAAATGTTCCCTCAACGTCTAATTGTCGTATGTCTGGGTAGCTCTGTGTGCCTATAGATGACCTGACGCAGTAAAAGGTACATATTTAAAACATTTCTTTTAGATTTTAGAGCAAAGTCTCGGGACGATCTGTCTCCTGATATTGCTTCTAATGTAATTTGTCACTATTTATTTTAAGATCAAGCTAGCATGATGCTATATAATGTTGAATTGTACCATGCCATTACAGCAGTGTTTCCCAACCACTGGGCCTTGGCACATAGGTGTGTCAGGTGATCCACTGGTGTGCCGTGGACGGTTATCTGGTTCCACCTGATTGGTCCTCTAAGCTATCGGCGTGAGTAACGGGCGGAACAATAACATTCTCTTCCACTAGAGGGCAGTACAACTACCTGCTCTAATTAAATGGGTTTCCAACTGCCAGTAAAACAGAAGAAGACAAAGGAGAAATGACATAATAGTCATGCTGTGAGACAATGCAGCGCGGAATAGCAATAGATAAATATTTGAAAAACAGTAAGTGTGATGCGCAAGGTGGTTGGTGCCTGCCGTGGTGGTAATCCCCGAACCAAATGGTGGACACCAGAGGTGAAGGGAGCCACCAGGCTGAAGAAGGAGTCCTATCGGGCTTGGTTAGCCTGTGGGACTCCGGAGGCAGCCGACAGGTACCGACAGGCCAAGCGGAGTGCGGCTCGGGCAGTGGCTGAAGCAAAAACTCGGGTGTGGGAGGAGTTCAGAGAGGCCATGGAAAAAGACTTTCAGACTGCCTCGAAGAGATTCTGGCAAACCGTCAGGCGTCTCAGGAGGGGGAAGCGGTGCTCTACCTGCACTGTGTATAGTGCTGGCGGAGCGCCGCTGACGTCGACTGAGAAAATTGTCAGGCGGTGGAAGGAATACTTCGAGGACCTCCTCAATCCCACTGACACGTCTTCCGAGGAGGAAGCAGAGTCTGGGGATGAGGGGGATGACCCGCCAATTTCCGGGGGCGAGGTCACTGAGGCAGTTAAACAACTCCTTGGTGGCAGAGCTCCTGGTGTTGATGAGGTCCGCCCCGAGTTCCTGAAGGCTCTGGACGTTGTAGGGCTGTCCTGGTTGACACGCCTCTGCAATGTTGCGTGGAGATCAGGGGCAGTACCTGTGGACTGGCAGACCGGGGTGGTGGTCCCCATCTTTAAGAAGGGGACCAGAGGGTGTGTTCCAACTATAGGGGGATCACACTCCTCAGACTCCCTGGGAAAGTCTATGCCAGGGTGCTGGAAAGGAGAGTTCTACCACAGTGCTGAATGCCTGAGTCAAATGAGGCTGTGTGCGTGTGTGTCTGCAGTCGAGAATGCTCAGCTGAAGGCCAGCAAAGTCAGTCAGCTCCTGGGACAAAGTCTGGGACCCCCTTTGCTGGTTAGAGAGGACGAAACCAAAGAGTGGAGGAACAACGAGGACAACGGTGGTGGGGGGCAGGGGTCTGCAGCCCCTTCTCACTTTCCCAGCTTACCTGCAGTCACTGCTTCCTTGCAGGTGTCCGTCTCCTTCAGCCTTAGAGACACGAGCAGGAAAATGAGATGAGAGATATAATGCTTAAAAAAAAGTAGTTTTAATTCAGCCAACACTTTCTTGAAATAGAAAAATAATTTTGTTTTGACTTTGAGAGCAATTTGGAGAGTCTCGGTCTGTCAACGTTGTTTTTTTGCATATTTGGTGGACACTTTGGGTTGTTTTGTGTTTGTAAACTTCAGAGAAATAAATGTAGTAATTCAAGGAAAGGAGAGTTCGTCCGCTAGTCGAACCTCGGATACAGGAGGAACAATGCGGTTTTCGTCCTGGTCGCGGAACACTGGACCAGCTCTTTATCCTCTCGAGGATACTTGAGGGTGCATGGGAGTTTGCCCAACCAGTCTACATGTGTTTTGTGGACTCGGAGAAGGCATTCGACCGTGTCCCTCGGGGTGTCCTGTGGCAGGTGTTGCGGGAATATGGGGTGTCTGGCCCATTGCTACGGGCTATTCGATCCCTATACAACCGTTGCAAGAGCTTGGTTCGCATTGCCAGCAATAAGTCGGACTCGTTCCTGGTGGGTGATGGGCTCCGCCAGGGCTGCCCTTTGTCTCCGGTTCTGTTCATAATTTTCATGGACAGGATTTCTAGGCGCAGCCAAGTGGCGGAGGGCTTTCACTTTGGTGGCCTCAGAATCTCATCTCTGCTTCTCGTGGATGATGTGGTTCTGTTGGCTTCATCAGGTGAGGGCCTCCAGCTCGCATTGGAACCATTCGCAGCCGAGTGTGAAGCAGCGGGAATTAGAATCAGCACCTCCAAATCTAAGGCCATGGTCCTCAGCCGGAAAAGGGTGGAGTGCCCACTTCGGGTCGGGGATGAGTTCCTGCCCCAAGTGGAGGAGTTCAAGTATCTCGGGGTCTTGTTCGTGAGTGATGGGAGAAGGGAGCCGGAGATCAACAGACGATCAACAGACTGGTCCGTCGTGGAGAAGAGAGAGCTGAGTGTAAAAGCGAAGGGAGGTCTGGGCCTCTTTGCTTAGGCTGCTGCCCCCGCGACCCGGCCACGGATAAAGCGGAAGAAGATGGATGAATGGATGGATGGATGGCTCCAAAAGGATGGGAAACACTGCTCTATGGTACAAAATAGACATGACAGGTTGAACATTAGTCTCTGCAGGGGTACAGGTATTTAGTGGCTAGTAAAAGTCCAACATGCAATCTCACACACACAGCATTACAGTGAGTTTGTTTACATTGTTTGTATTATAAAATGACACCAAAAGCATGAAAAAATCTGATTGAAGAACAAAGACTGATGACAGATAGGAGCACAGTGAGGTATGGGACATTAGCAGGAACATGATATCTCTGTTAGGGCTGCCACAAACGATTATTTTGATAGTCAACTAGTCACCGATTATTTTTGCGATTAGTCGACTAATCAGATCATCATCCATTGGACATAAAACGTACAGCCTATTGCACCAGCAGCATCTGCTCTTATATAACTATCATTAGCTTACAGCTTTAAGTGTTTCAGGTCTGTGCTAACTAAAAATAAAGACAAGATGATAGTTTATAAAATTTTAATGAAATTTTCAGATTGTTTCGGTGAAGTTTAATAAACTCCTTGCTTTCTAAAATATAACAGGACACCGGAGTAAATTCTCGAGCATCTCACACTTCTGATAATCAGCTGTCTGCTTGATGTTTATTCAGCTGTGTAAAAACTATAACTTTAATCTCAGCCAAACAGATTTACTCAGGAACAAATAAAATACTGAAAAAAGCCAAACAATAACATTTTGAAGTTATCTAAGTGACTCATATATCATGTTTAACCTGAGTAGCGAAAGACGGCGGTGGGTTTGAAAACGATTTGCGGGGAGTCCGGTGTTCTCACGGCTCTAGTTAGCCTAGCCCCCGGCTAGCTATCGAGCTAGTGGGTAACAGACGTCTCCGAAAACGTCGGAGCGCTTTTGAAAATATGTGGTGTCTTGATAAACTGAGCAGATATTTGAGGTTTACACAGCTACATTCTCGCCTGAAAATATGTTAAACGTTTATTTTGTGACCCAGAAAGAATAATAAGAGTAACATTAAAACTAACTAGCTGCCGCCATTGTTGGAAACTGAGCTGGGCTGCGCTATGAATTCTGGGACACAGCTTCTTCTTCTTCGGGGTTTAACGGCAGCTGGCATCCTTGTACATGCAGTGCTCCCATCTTCTGTTTCAGTCCGTTATTACACTCTTAAATCCCGCTACTTATTCCTGCGTCTTTTGGGATCTTACAAAGCTTCAAACGACGCGTCGACTATTAAATCAGTCGTCGACGATTTTGATAGTTGACGTAATCGTGACTAGTCGACTAATCGTGGCAGCCCTAATCTCTGTCACTCACACTTGGAAAAGTTAGCTGCAGGCTAAACTAACGGGCCTATTTACCAGTAAGATGGCGCACTGTAATAAATTTATGTTGTTTGAAAATGATTGCAGCTGTGGAAATACGAGCCTGGATACAGATAATGGCACGTGAGCGGCACCCTTGCATCCCCAGCTCCTTTTCTGAGCTTTTAATCGCTTCCCGGGATTGCAAACACATTTCAGGTGCTCCGCTGCACCATTCAATTGATTTTCCTTACAGGTTGCTATGACCACTTTAGTGGAGACAGAATTTGAAATGGGGCACCACATGTCAAAGGAAGGAGCAAATAGTTTGTCTTTGTAGCCATGACAGTTGTGTGGATTTTCATCTGAATAATTCTGGCCTGTACTCATGTATTCAGTGATTCTCCAGCCAAAACACATATTGTGTTTGACTTACGCGTTAATAGAGGCTGCCTGACTGTGCCAAGCAGCTGCATATTAGGACCTATTACGTGATTTCATAGCTCTTAGAAAATTGCTCCTATTCACAACGAAACGGCTGGGGGTGGGGCAGAAGTGTTGGGTGGGTGGTGGGTGGAGGGGAGCGGGGGCTGTGGGAGGATGTGACGAAAAGCCCCCAACACACAATCGTGCCTTTTCAATTGGCGATGGCAAGGTTGATGACAACATGACCATTGTGTTATAATGATAACACCACAAAGGCATCTGCCCCCCTCATCAAGGCTTCGCAGCGGCTGCAGATACAATTTAATTCACTGCTCCGTTGACGGCGCTGATACCATTATGTAGCACGTCGGCACAGGGGTAATCACTGTCGTTCCTGAGAGCGGGATGAAAAAAGACAAGCGTGAAAAAGAGGGGGGGAAAGATGGAGGGACAATGATGGGGAGGCTGAAACTTACAATTAAGAATGCCAATTGTGATGTGTCAGAGCCCCCTGTGGACTCGTGCTCATATACTTGCAACGCTTCCAGCGCTGTTTATTTACCATGGCTACCAGTAATTATAATTAACACGTCATTTAGTTCGAGGCGCCCTCTCGTAGGTTGCCGAGTCTGGACAGCGACAGAGAAGAGGCTGAGGAAGAAAACTGGCAGCTAAGTGCTATTGAGCGCCTGATACGGAGGACGGCAGAGTGGATATCGCAGAGCGCTGACGTTCATCAACTTCTTAATTAGGTGTCACCGGGGGGAAGGAATTGCCCACGGCAGTGGCACTAATGCTTAATTTCTCCCTCACTCAGCTGTAATGTTTAATTAGTTAAGTGGCAGGGCAGTCTTTAGGGTGTTCTTCTCCTACCGAGGTACGATTGCAGCTTGAAACGTTGCTGTTTGGAGTTTCGTCAGATTTTGTTCCCAATGTTTTACTAAAACTGTTTAATCACAGAGTTTCATATTGACAGTGAATCGGACGGCTGCATGTTCAGTTACACTCATAAATCACCTTCAGTGTCTTTAGTGGTGCCAGGGTGTTGTCACTGGGTTTACGCTCTGCTGTACAGGTCAAACCTTTTCTCTGCATCGATAATCTGACCTTTACTATTCATCCACACTTTATTTTTACTGCCTGGAAGCTTTGAACACACAACAAACATGACAAAAGACAGACGCCAAACAGGTTTCATGTAAAACTTTCAAATTAAGACTAAAGTATGTACAACGTGGGACACAAACTATTTTATTCTTAAAAGTCTCGTTTTGGGGGGTTTGACACATTTCCTGTAATCATCCCTGCTGCAGGCAGCTTCTGCCAACTACAGCTCCCACAGACCCTCTTGACTCTACATCCAGGTAACTGTCGACATGTTTACATTATTCAGAGCACATTTATATTTGTATGAATGAAAACTTGAAAACCCAAAGGAAAAAGGTAAGTGTGCTGAGATTGTTTTTAGTGTTTCTGGCTTGTTTTCAGGACTTTGCCTCACAGATCAAACCAGACATGATCAAAAAAGCAGAACGGAAACAAAAGAAGAATAAAACTCCTTAAAAGCTCATACAGTTCAAATAAAGACAGAGGCATTGTATCTGGCCTTTATAAGGGATTAACAAATATGAAATTACACTCGACCCTATATATCAAAACAAAATGGGAAATGGAGGGAGGAATAGAGATAAAGGAGGACAACAATATGGACATACATATGGAAATGTAGCAGCTCGCAGAGCTGGAGGGAATTTGGGTGGAAAAGCCTGATAAGATATTTTATTCCACCTCACCAAAAATCTCACTATGAAGGTAACCCGCACAAATCACTATCATATTTTCTGGGACTGTCATGTTATTAAAACGTATTGTAAGGGGATACATGCAGCAATACGAGAGATATTTGGAGGTTATTTACCTTTGGGAAGTAAAACTTTATTTTTTGGACTTATCAGAAGGATGGACAAAGAACGATAAATACTTGTTTAATATTTTACTGGCAGCAGGTAAAAAAGCCATCACAGAAAAATGGCTTTCTCCTGAGAGCCCAGCTATGAACATGTGGATGGACATCACAATGGACATTTACAGGATGGAGAACAGGCCAGCAGATATGAACTATAAGAGGACCTGTTTGTATCACGATGGAAGAAATGGATGGACTATATAAAAAAACGCAGGCCAGATTTTGATTTTGACTGTGTTAAGTACTAGAAGATATATTAGAGGATATATTAGTTATATTAATGGTAGTAAAATCTCACTCCCTAAATGCCTTTTTCTTTCTTTCTTTTTCTGTTTTGCTCCCTTTTTTCTCTTTCCCTCCTTTTGTATGGATATTTTAGTTGTTTAAAAAGAGAAAAAAGCAAAAATACATGTAACAAATTGTTGAAGCTGATGGTTTTGTACAGTTATTCCTAAATGTCAATTAAAGAAAAGAAAACGAAAACTCCAGCAATGTTAGCTTAACTGCTATTGTTACATAGAAGCAGTGTGCAGTGAAAGCTTTCCCACGCTCCTCTCTGCTGTGTGAGCTCCTGCTTTCTCCACCAAACATGGCCTGTGTGGATTTTTACATGAGTCGGGACCAGCGTTAAACCCAGAACGCAGTTAGCGGTAAATGTGTTGGTCATGTATTTCCTTTGCCATTGTCATAGGTAATATCAATTAAAAATCACTTCTTGTCACCATTTAGTAAAGAATTAAATGTTCCCACCCGGGCTGAGGTGTAGCATCACACGTCATGACTCGTAAAGAGAAGCTCATGTCCACCCTTGAAATACTTGCACAACACTCCCCTTTATTAATATTCTGGTTCTCTATCCTTTTCCTCGTCTATTCAATCAGACACGGATGAAGAAAATAAAAAACGGGGTAAATAATCTGAATATGAGCTCATAAATAAATATGAGGTTCGGTGTAAAGTCTCATTCTAATGAGGTCATTCAGTGCTGAGGTGTCGAGTGTTACGGCGCTCTCGTCAGCTGCAGGGATGCATCGTCCTTTAGAAAAACCTAATTGTTGTCTTTGTTTCCATCACGACCTTTTGTTCATGAGTTGATGTTAAAGTTCTTCTTCACATGAGTACAGCCTTTCATATTTCATCAATACTAATGACTCGTTTGTAAAATTCACACATATGCTTTGTTTAAACACTGACTTGTGTTTTTTAATAACCTGTTGTCCTCATAACCGAGTCTGTGAGGTGCTGGAGACAGCAACACCCAGAAAAATATTAATAGCTATTAATACATTTGACAGTCATGCTATTTAATACAAACACTAACTCTAACATACAAAACGGATGATGAGCTTTTAAAACAGCATCGTAACAAATGTATCCAATAGTGTGTAAGCTTAGAATTTAACAACCACGTGTAACACTGAAAGATATTAGTCCTGAAATTCCCTCACATCGGTGTTGTAGGATGTGATGTTTGTCATATTTTACTATTTTTATTTGTTCTGTTACGTGAAACTGAAAAAGCCGTTTCCCGTCTTTCCTTTCATCTTGTCTTTTTCTGTGTTTTCCAGTCTCTCAGATGGTCATTGAAGAGGTCAGCGCCATCCAGGAGAACCTGGAGATTGAGCGAACGTGCAGAGAAAGTGCTGAAGCGCTGGCCTCCAAGGTACAGTTGACCTTACGTTAAATCAGATCTGAACTAATTTCCTATGCGTGCTCAGATTCAGTTTCACATTTACTAAAACGGTGTCATTAAAGTAAAACAAGAGAAGAATAAAGTAATAAAATAATGTTGGTTTAAACCGGCTTTCCTAAGTGAATGTTAGAGTCCAATCAGCCATTTGTGATGACATTATCTGAGCGCAGGGTTACAATCACAGCGCTCTCTGGTCCTCTGCCGCCGCTCCTGTCCCCACGGCTCAGTGTAGAAAATTGTGTTGGATTCTTCTGATTCACAGCACAATTTTTTGGAGTCCTTGCCAAAATGCGAGTTGTGATTGAAAGTGGGGGAGTCTGGCACATAGTGATTTTGCAGCCCACTGGTGCTGAACTTATCACAGTAATCATTTCTCATTCAATTTCTGCACAAAAGCCCTCAGAGTCCACCTGGTTGGACGCAAGTGTGGACAGTTGGAGACTGAGGAAGAATTACAGTGAAGGTGGGCTTTTTCATCAGAGTAGGTCATCTGCTAATCGCGAGGTTGCTGGTTCGATCCCAAATATCCTTGGGCAAGGATAACCCCGAGTTTCATCCACGGGAGTGTGACTGTGTGTGAACGTTGGATAAAAAGCACTTAAGCACAGAAAAGGCGCTCGTGTGAATGAGTGACTGCTGCGCTTTGAGTGCTTCAGGGGAAGAATCAGTCCATTTACACACTGATCATCTGCTGACATTATCACTTACTCATTTGTTCACTTAATTACTTAATTGTGTCTCTATGTTTAAAAGGTTTTTTAACCTCTAAACCAGCAAATAACAAATGAAATTATTACTAGTGTCATTTGAGTATTAAAATATTTGATGTTAATGTTACATCAGGTCTATATGTTTATATTAAAGGAGTTTTATTGCACTGAGCAGTAGACAGATATTCTTATTGATCATAGAAATCTTGTGTTTCAGCAGTGGCCATGAAACATATCTGACTCCTTGTGTTTGCTGACCCCCGCGAGTCCTGCTCGCCTCCTCATGAGTAGCTCAGGGTGACAAAGATAAGGTGGATGATATTGTCCCACCTCAGGTGATCAACAGTTCCTATGATTAAGGATCAGCTCAGCTTCTGTCATCTGCTGTAACAGGCCAACTATGCCTCCCTGATGAAACTTTACCAAAGATCAGTACCAGCTGTGTTACCACAGGAAGCCTGGAGCTTAAATCGCACAGCACACTTACCAACCGTAGCAAATATGATACAGATATGATAGAAATTAAAACTTGCCTATGCAAATATTGAATTTTTACATTAGTCAAATATTCAATCAAAAGTTCAGAACATGTCTGTGAAGGTTCTCAGTCATCCAGGTCATCGTAGTCTAAGGAGCTTGGAAAGAAAAGCGTCTGGACTTCTTTAAGTTGCTTGAAGACGTTTCACCTCTCATCCCAGAAGCTTCTTCAGTTCTGAACTGAAGAAGCTTCTGGTAGAGTTAGAATTGTGACTCTACCGTTTTTAAGTAGCCTTTTCTCTCCAGATTCATGAAGCACTGTTGATAAACAGACTTCTATAACTTTACTAGTCAAATAAAATAAATCTATTCCAGTTGCATTAACAGCAGTAACCAGCGGTTACCAGGAGTCCAGCTTTAGAAAGTTGAGATATTTACAACTATTAAATTGGTCAAGTGAAGCTTGAGCCCCTCCCAGAGTAGAAAAAGGTAATAAAAGTGTATGAGGTAATAAAGTATGAGGTAATAAAAGTGCTGCTGAGTCTCCACATGAGCTACGAGGCTCACGAGCAGCTGCAGTACGTAGATTTGCACTGCAGCATCTGAAGTAGGTGTTTCTCTAACTAGTCGTATACAAGCTGCCTTTCTTCCTAATTTACTTTTTAAATTTTGTTTTGTAAAATAAACGTTTCAAAGATGAACAGCATACTTTGGAACTAATGACAGAGAATCAGATGTGACAAACTGTATTTGTCTTGAAATGTTGTCCAGGATTATTGTGAATCCCACTTGCAGCTGACTGAGCACAGAACAGACATCATGTTTCAGGCTTTGTCCAGTGAAGCGGCTGCTAACAGCTAGCACTGTGCTATTTCAGGAAGGAATTATGATTTCTGGCTAAAAGGCTGCTTGGTCTAAGTAACGACTCTCCTTCAGGCTTTATTTGATGTGCTCGCTTTGCTTCACTAACGGCTTCTTTCTTCATATAAAGCGACGTCCATAACCAGACACTCCCTGTGCTGTGGGTGTGTGGGGCGGACAGCAATAGTCCTTAGCTATTTCAAAGAATAAATCCATTTATTAATTATTAACTTACTTATGTTAAAAGCATCACGTTTGTTCACCATAAATCCATAAGCAGAGTACAGTCTGAGTCTGAAACATTACGCTGGCCTTTCAGCAGCAATACTCCAAAGTCACCATTCCTGTGCACACTGTGTTAACGTGGGTTTATTACTCATTTGCATTTAAATCAGAGCTGGAACACACCACGACGGCAAGTTAAACTCTATGTTAATTTCTGTCCCCAATGATGGTAATTTTGCACAACAAATATCTCCAAGGCCGCTCTGAAAGAAGCCAAAGTTTAGAGCAATTCTTTAACTCGTCAACATTTTGATTTAAAAGCAGCTGGAGGGGGTTAGCAATTTACAACCAGTCAGAGGAGAATGTGGCTTTGATGCTTAATGTTTTTGTGTTGCTGTATGATCAAGGCTGTGACTTTGTAATGGCGACCTCCAAAGACAGCGCTAGCCGACTGTTATGTCAGCCTCGAGTCATCTAAGTATGTAATTTTAGATGTACATCTTTCACCGATTGTAGATTATTATCAGAAGAATGTGATTCCATGTTATGTATTGTTGATTGCATTTCAGAAAAAAAGCTGTCGTCTGAAGGGTGTCATCAAAAGATGGAATGCTGCAATCCGCTCTCACCGGGATGCCATTAATAAATGCTTCTTTCATGGCTCCTGTTTTCTATTTCCTTTACTTTTTTCTTCCCTTTAGGGGCTTTTCTTCCTTCAGGTGACATCAAGAAGCGTGCATAAGAGGCATCAGTCCCACGGCCATGGCTTTCATTCATGCTTTACTTACCACTGGTCTCCTTAATTCATATATATAAGTATATAAATATATATAATGCTAATAAAGTATAATGCTTCAACAGAGAAGCACACACTCCTGTAGCAATGATTATAACGGAGTGTGAAAATATTAACAGCTAAAATGAATTGTTATTCCTACTACAGTGGTGCTGCCATGTTGTACTGCAGTTCTGTGAGTGGACTGTCCGAGTTGTGTTTATGTTCTTTAGATGTTGGTGGTCTACAGTCTACTGTCTACTTGTATAAAACCCATGAATGCTTTGTTACCAGGACAGTTTACTGCAGCTAGGACATGCAGCACATTAGAAGATATTGTTTTAATAGAAGTATCAGTACTTTGGTGAAAACAAGCAAAATATGATTTGAGCTCAACTTTGTTTCCTGTAAAATGAATTTGCCACCGATTATGTGAAACGATGAAGACGTGACTAAAGTGCAAATGTTCAAAGCATTTCTACACATAGCATCAGCTGTTGCATTTATGGGCATATTTATGTTCATGAAGGTCTCTCTGTGGAACTTGGTAATCCTTGAAATGTGTTCTTGAGTTGGTTTGATGTCGTGAAGGAGTTTTTCTTAACTAAGAGAAGAATTTTGCTCTAATCTATTTGAGCTGCCTCCTGTGGTCTCAGATGTTTTGCTCTTGCTGAGTTTGGCACTGCAATCTGTGTTCGAGCCCAGCGATGGCCTACTGTCCTCACTGTCCTCACTGTCCAGTTAAAATGCCATGAAACAGCTTGTCAGTCAGTCCAGTTACTCTTGAGAAAACGTGAAATAATGTATTCAGATGGCTGTATTTCCTAAATATTTAATGCAATACTTTTGTATTGCATTAAATACAAAAGTATTTTGTATTTAATTAATGTTAAAAGTCCACTTTGCTGGTGTGCAAGGGCACCAAAAACTTATGGACTTGACTGCAGGTGTGTTGAACTTCAGTTGGTGTCTTTATGATCTTATTCTGACAGTACATTACACTTTCTTTGCCTGCATGCTACAGCTGGACAGGCAGAACCGCTCTCTGAAGAGGAAGAGTATGATGTTGCTGTCTCACATCAGCCCTGAGACCATCGCTGACATCGACCTCAATGATGAAGCAGAAGAGAGTGAGGACCTGCATGCATCGAGCCACGACTGCCTGTCTCCTCAGTGCTGCACCTCCATCTCAGGTACCGTAGAAAGTAAAGCCTACACTGTGCTGACAGACCTCACCTACAGCATTCATTCATTCACCAAAGAGTATTTGAACACAAGAATGTGTTCACTGGTCACAAGGAGAGCTGTGAAAGCACTTGTGCACTGGTACATTTACTTGCATCTGCTGGCAGTGATAAGTTACTGCAAAGACAAACTCTGGGTTAGAAGATGGATGAATGAAGAAGGGAATGTACCACTGAGGTGAAATCTAGTTTGGAATCCATTGTCTTTGTGTTTGACTCTTCATTTTACAAGGACTTTACTCAAAGTCTTCACGTGGCACATAGTTTCTCACATATTTGAATGAGTGGAAATCAAATTACCTGGATTCTAGAGGTAATGGTTCGGTCGTGTTTATGGAGCGGACCCAAAAGCAGACGAAAAGTAACGAAGAGAGAGACGTTTTATCGGACTGAATGCCAACAAACAAAAACACGAAGCAAAACAAGAGAACTGAAACCTAAACTGGGAAAACTAAACGAACTCTGTAAACTGTGGCAGGAGACATGAAACACGTAGACGGGGAATAACCCCGAGCATGAACAGTGGTAACAAAACACTCAGACGACCTGACACTGAGGACTTAAACACAGGAGGGGAAGGAGGGAAGTAGAATGAAGCATGACGCCACAGGGGAAACAAAACTAAACACACTGAGCAGGGGAACAATGGACCTTTCAAAATAAAACAGGAAACATGGAGATGCAGACATGACGAAGCGACAAACATCAACCAGACTAAAACTCAACTAAGACAAACTAATATGCCAGAATTTTTCTCATTAATCAGAAATATGCAATAACTCAACTACATCCTTAACAAGAATAAAACATGATTCTAACATAAGAAGTCAAGAACAGAAAAAACAAACTCAAGATGCTGGGTCTCAGACCCCGACAGGTTTAAGCCCGCCCCATTGCCACGTCCATCACAGTGTGAAATTTAGCTTCACCAAAAATTCAATTTACAGATGACATGAAGAGTATAACGTCTACACCCTTAGAGTAAAAAAATATTAGGTGTGTTGCGCACGTGTGCATAAAATAACTGGCAGATGTCCTGAGAGTTTTCAGCTGACTGAAGTTCAGCACTGCAGACGTATTTTCTCCTCCAGCTGCCTCTGGCTCACGTCATGGTCAGTTCCTTTAGTCAAACAGTAATTATACCTCCGGTGATAATGGATTTATACTCGATGATGCTTTTCCATTCATGTCGTTGGCATTAAAAGGGACAGATAATCATGTCATTTGCAAATAATATGCTGTGATACAGGCAATACTGAAATAAGTTGACTTTTGCAAAGATTGCGGGCTTATTATCTTGAAAATTCATAATTGCATGTTAATGGACAGCTAGTCAAAGCAGCCCCTGTGATGAAACACCAGATATTTGGCTACAGACTTCTGTAGATCCCAGCCAAACAAACGAGCTCTCGTAGGTTCTGAGCTAAGTACATCACACCGATTGTGTTCATCTGTTCAAATCATTTTCAGTATTTCGCTTGAAAATTTTATGACACGAAATCCTCGTTCTGCTCACCAGAAGGCAATCCATCTGTACCTGAAACAGCTTTTGGTGTCAGCGACCTTCTTCTGCTTAAGTACCCTGTTTAAATGTCTCAGACTGTTCCTGCTGTGAGCTGTTTGTATTAACACGTCTTTATTTCAAGATTTATTCCATTTGTCACATTTTTGGACACGTACAGTTCTTAACCAACGTATCGGCACAGCACAGGTTTAAGCCACAGCTGCACTAAATTAAACTAAAAGAGTATTTTTTAATGGTTAAACTCACCACTAAAGCTCAACATGATCCTTTTAATGCTGAAATATAATGTTTTTATGTTGTCCATGAAATTTAAGATTTGTTGTTTTACAAAAAGTGGAAAAAATAAGAAAGCCCATATATATATATATATATATATATATATATATATATATATATATATATATATATATATATATATATATGGAAGACAGCACAGAGGCACTAATCATGGCAGCACAAGAACAAGCTCTGAGCACAAGATCCATAGAGGCTGGGGTCTATCACACCAGGCAAGACCCCAGGTGCAGGCTGTGTAAAGATGCCCCAGAGACAATCCAGCACATAACAGCAGGGTGCAAGATGCTAGCAGGCAAGGCATACATGGAACGCCATAACCAAGTGGCCGGCATAGTGTACAGGAACATCTGTGCCGAGTATAACCTGGAAGTCCCGAGGTCAAAATGGGAGATGCCCCCAAGGGTGGTGGAGAATGACCGAGCTAAGATCCTGTGGGACTTCCAGATACAGACGGACAAAATGGTGGTGGCTAACCAACCGGACATAGTGGTGGTAGACAAACAGAAGAAGACGGCCGTAGTTATCGATGTAGCGGTTCCGAATGACAGCAATATCAGGAAGAAGGAAGACGAGAAGCTGGAGAAATACCAAGGGCTCAGAGAAGAGCTCGAGAGGATGTGGAGGGTGAAGGTAACGGTGGTCCCCGTGGTAATCGGAGCACTAGGTGCGGTGACTCCCAAGCTAGGCGAGTGGCTCCAGCAGATCCCAGGAACAACATCGGAGATCTCTGTCCAGAAGAGCGCAGTCCTGGGAACAGCTAAGATACTGCGCAGGACCCTCAAGCTCCCAGGCCTCTGGTAGAGGACCCGAGCTTGAAGGATAAACCGCCCGCAGGGGCGTGCTGGGTGTTTTTTATATATATATATAAATATATAAAAGTTCTGCAGTGCTGAACTTCAAAAAAGGAAGTTTTAGTGGTTAAAGCGCTAAAGTCCAGGGCGCCGACTCAAAGAAGCATTCTTATTTGACTCATAAGTTCTAATAAAGTTTTAGTTTCAGAGACAATTTTGACAAAGTTTGAAGTATTTGTGTTTTCTTGTTTGTATGACAGCTGGTCTCGTACATTTGTTAGGCACGGTCTATAAGCACAAACTAAAAAACGAGAATGTAACACCAGTATGAATGAATTACTCTGTTTCAATCATTTGGTATTATTTGGTAGACTAGAACTGATCAGCGTTTCAAAGAGGTTTGGCTCTACATAATAAATGTTCTTATTTGACGAAACAAACACAGGTTAACCCACAGAATGTCACAGTTGTACAGTCAGTGCACAACAACATTGTTTAACTGTGCTGCTTTTTTTAGTGCTGCAAAATAAGTTGGAAATGACAGTTAAGGAGAAAAATCAAGCACTCTCTGATCTTGAGGCAGTAAGAGAACTACTGAGGGCGACCAAGGAGGAAGTAAGTATTTAATATTTCTTTTTCCCTGTTGTGAATACTTTGGCCAGCAAGCGTGTGAATGCAGATTCCCAGTTCTTAGTAGTGAATATGTGCAAAATGTGTCCCTGCATTGTTGTTTCCTAACAATAATAACAGTGACACATTAGCACGGAGGACAGAAAGGGATCCACTGTGTGTGCAGCTGCACTTTGCATGGCAGAGGTTTGTCATGTGCTGCCGCATCTCTGTTTTGCTGCAGTCGAGAGGGAACACACAACGAGTCACATTTAAGGCAGGTGTGCACTGTAAGTTAAATGTTAGGACCATGTCTGTGGTCAAACTGTGGTCATAAATATTTTGTGCTTGTAAATCAAATGCTTAGTTGTGAACTGAGTTTTGTAACCTTTAAACATGTTAAAATGTTATGTTTGTGCTTCTATAGATGAGAATTTGTGTTTGTAAAAGTATTTACATGAGTTACAGTGTTGTTTGCATAGGTCTACGTGTAAAACTCTGCGCTCTGGTTCCCTGGATGTGTGACAGTTTCAACTTACAAGTACGAATTTTGACCCGATTTTTCTTCCTTTCAGCTGATTGGTCAATGTCATGTCAATCACAAATGAAACAATCCAATCAGAGAACAGATGGGTTTGGCTGTCGGAGGGGTGCTTTACGGAGCTGCAGGTCCTGGAAGGATAAATGCTCTTTTACATGCCAGCCCAGCGTTTTCCTTCATCACCACGAAGGAAAACAGTCTGTGCGTGTCCGAGTCCGATGAATTTTGTGTCACAGGTTTACGAGCTCACACAGGGACCTCCAGAGACTTTAACGGCTCTGTGGACCTCGAGAAGGAGCAGCATTGTGGAAATGACACAGTCTTCACTAGTATGTAGGAAGACACCAGTAGTAGGATAGTTACAAAGCTTTCTTCGTTGTGAATGAGCGATACATGTTTTTATTGAACATTTGAAGATAAAACAACAGTAACTCCTGTAGAGGACATAAAGTCAGAGACAGAAACAACAAGGAGCAGGCGCATCTAGTACACGCAGAGCTGCAGCAAGAAAACAACAGCGCAGTGGCCAGCGCAACAAATTTTGCGCTCTCAGTTAGAAGTGAATGCGTCTGCTGTGAAAGGACCTTCATGCTGTGACTCACAGCAATGGTCCCGGGTCAGCCCTGACTTTGTGTTAAGGTAATACTAAAGTATTAATGGTATTTCTAACCACTGATATACCAAAACTTTATCCTTTCAACAGCTACCAAAAGTTAGGGAACCTAGCTGCTATGGGACATTCATATGTTCTACCCTTCCAGGACCTGAAGCTCAGTAAAGCACCCCTCCGACAGCCAAGATCTTCAACCCACACCTCCGGCAGAGCTTCACCAGCAGTCTGAGGGAGACTGAACACATTGAGTGTCAATGGACCATGTTCAGCATCTCCACTGTCGAAGCCACTGCAATAAGCTGTGGCCGCAAGGCAGTTGGTGCCTGTCGTGGTGGTTATTCCCAATCCAAATGGTGGACACTCGAGGTGACAGGTGCCACCAAGCTGAAGAAGGAGCCCTACCAGGCTTGGTTAGCCCGTGGGACTCCGGAGGCAGCTGATAGGTACTGACAGGCCAAGCTTAACGCGGCGTGGGTGGTGGCTGAAGCAAAAACTCGGGTGTGGGAGGAATTTCGGAGAAGCCAAGGAAAAAGACTTTTGGATTGCCTCGAAGAGATTCTGGCAAACCATCAGGCAACTCAGGAGGGAAAAGCGGTGCTCTACCTGCACTGTGTATAGTGCAGATGGAGCGCTGCTGACTTCGACTGAGAAAATTGTCAGGCAGTGGAAGGAATACTTCGAGGACCTCCTTAATCCCACTGGCACATCTTCCATGGAGGAAGCAGAGTCTGGGGATGAGGTGGATGGCTCACCTATCTCTGCGAGGTCACTGAGGCAGTTAAACAACTCCTTGGTGGCAGAGCCCCTGGTGTTGATGAGGTCCGCCCCGAGTTCCTGAAGGCTCTGGATGCTGTAGGGCTGTCTTGGTTGACACGTCTCTGCAATGTTGCGTGGAGATCAGGGGCACCACCTCTGGATGGGCAGACCAGGGTTGTGGTCCCCATCTTTAAGAAGGGGGACCGGAGGGTGTGTTCCAAAAGGGTGGAGTGCCCACTCCAGATCAGGGACGAGTTCCTGCCCCAAGTGGAGGAGTTTAAGTATCTCGGGGTCTAGTTCGTGAGTGATGGGAGAAGGGAGTCGGAGACTGACAGACAGATTGGTGTGGCAGCCGCAGTGATGTGCAGTCTGTTGTGGTGAAGAGAGAGCTGAGTGTAAAACTGAAGCTTTCAATTTACCGGTCGATCTACGTCCCTACCTTCACCTATGGCCACGAGTTGTGGGTAGTGAC